AATGACAAAAAAATTGACTTACCGCAGAATCCTGGGAAAAAAAGCAGCATCAACTGCTAGTGATAGCTGATACACACGATTAACAGTTGAATATCAGTTTAAAAATACTGGTAGTGACTACTAATGATAGCTAATACACAGAAATAATAGTTGAATATCCATTTAGGAATACAGAGAGCAGCAACAATGCGGGATGCCCAACTTTAACTCATACACTTTGGTACGCGACAGTATTTTCGAAAATAGTACGATTCTAATCAAAGGACGGGCGCTAAACAGCAGGCGCATTAGGGGCGTGGTCTTTGTTCATTCCCTCTGACTGGGTTTTGTCGCCTTCCGCACCACACCCGGTCATACCCCCAAAACGACCCCCCAGGTGGAGCGCGCCTGACCTCACGCTCAACCGTGGTTATGAGCCTTTGTTTTCCGCATTTTCCCTCTATCAAGGCGAGGCAAGGCATCTCCGTTGTGGCAACGTGGTGTAGCGATAAATAGCTGCGATTCACAGGTGAGTGACCAGTGTTCGAGTCTTATGGTCGACCAGCAGTTCTACATTTTCTAAAATTATCGCTTGCCTTTGGAAATGCCACATATGGACAATTTATCGTAAATCTCGCTACAAGTGATCATTTTGCCTATATTTGGAGGATAAAATATTAGCTTGAAAGCTGAGGAGTTTGTTGTAAGAGAATTACAGATATATAGAAACTTTTAAAACGAAACTATGAGCAGATATGGAAATCAATCACAAAGGTTGAAAGCAAAAATGCTTTTCACAGCGTGCGCAACGGATAAAATGATATTGCTTGTTGATGATTTCGGTATCATCAACCATTAATGGACTTCATCTTGCTTATAAAGCTGAATGCCTCTTTGTCTGTATGACTGTATGTTTGTCTGTCTGTTTACCTGTCTGTAGGTATGTTTAGAATATAAAATTCCCTTTCTGAACCGATCCAGACCAAACCTTGCATACATACACTTCGGAATTGGGCGGATGTCATAGGCTACTTTTCGTCATCGATTTTATCGATTTTTTGCAAAGTTTGAGCCACAGGGCTGGGGTTGGTGAGGAAGGTAGGTGAGCATACTGATTACTAGTTGGCAGTTGGCACAGGGGATAATCGAGCATGATAGTACAACATTAGTTTGGCGCTATTCGGCTATCCAAGCCCCAAAATTTTTTTATCGTAGAGCTTGCTCAAACTTTGTCTATAAGGGTTATCTTACATGCTGATTTCAAATATCACACTTTCTCCTCAGAAAGTTTCATGTGCGGTTATGATAGGTGTACGGAAGGAAGTCAAAATTGTGGATTTGGCTGAAATTAGATCCAGGGGGCTTATTTCACAAGCTGATTACATATATCATACTCTCTCTGCATATTGGGACCTTTTCATAAAGTTATGGTGATTATAAGGTATGGGACCGAAAACATAGATCTGCTCTAAACTTTGTCTAGGATGGTCATTTGGCGCGCTAAACATGAATATCATGCTGGATAGCGCTTTTCGCAGGATAGCGCCATTTTCTTGCGTTACGGTGGGTGTATAGTAGATGGGCTGAAGTTCCAGATTTGCTCAAAACCTTTCTGGAACGGTTTACAAGCATGCTGCCCATGAATACGATGCTCGCTGCATAATATTGTGAAGTGACGGTGAGTTGCAGGGTTTAAATGGATTTTTCGCTTTCGGGCCAATTTAGATCCCAGATATTCACGAAATGAGGAAACGGTCTTTCTGCATGGCGGTCTCCGGTGCCATCCTTAACCTGTCCCAAGGCGTAACGCACGCTGCAAATCTCCCCCCCCCCCCCTCCCCTCCCTGTTCTTTGCTTAGGCAAATAGCCGCCGAAGGATATATCGCGCGGCAGTGTCCATTAAGGAAAGCATTACGATCGTAGGAAACCTCCTATACCATACGAATTGCATTTATTGTGGGGACTGAGCACGATATTCTTGAAACAACACTTCAGGTAATTCACTGCCAAGGTTTCAGGCAGGTTCATGATTTTTAACCGCTGCCATGTATCTAGCGTAACTCTGCGAAAGGTCTCAAAACGCAAGAAAAGTGTTTTAATCGTGGTCAGAAGGTCGAATCTCTCTAGACTGAGTTCAGCCAAAACTGAAATTTTGCCCCTTTGTAGTATACTTACTAGAACTCAGTGAAAACGCCCCAAAATGCGAAGGAGTATGATATTCGTAATTAGCATGTCAATTACCCCTAAGCAAAGTTTCAGCGAAATCCAGGTTTTAGCTTCTTACTGTACCCACCGTAGACCCAGAAAATGGCGCTATCGCGCGAACATCAGCGGCCCGAATAACTCCCATATACCGTTTAAGCAAGATCCATTACAAACACATTTTGAGGTCCGGATAGTCGAATAACGCCATCAGTTCTTAGAATCATCCTTACTTTTAACTATTTTATTGATTTTTTTTTGCAAAGCTTGAGCTACAGGGCTAGGGGTTGGTGAGGAAGGTAGGTGAGCATATTGATTACTAACACAGCGGGAATAGGGAATTGCATGTAGAACTGGACATAGGGAAAGGTCGCACAGGGATAGGAATGGAACCTTTATCGTTTTTGAACACAGCCGGGCTGAGCCGGGTGAGCCAGGTATTAGGTTGTCCCAAAAATAAACTCCTTTTTCAAATGATTCAAGCTGTTTTTGTTTTCCCAGTAAACTCAGGGTATCATTTGATAGAGCAGATCAAGCTCTACAAAATAACTAGGGTCCACCTAAGTCGCATTCGGGGAGAAGTTTAAGTCAAAATCGGAAAAAATTTTGTCACCTGAAAATTGGATTTCTGCGATAAAGAAGCCTACAGGCCTCCAACTTGGCCATTATACAGGGTGTCCGTAAAGTATGTATACACTGTTTGATCGTTAATATCTCTTTTTCCAGGAAGTCTTTTGCCTTGCTCTAGGTATCGTTTTGTAGAACTGGCTTCAACTTAGATCTACAGTATAGAACGAATCACCGATCGCTCTTCATTACTATAGCATTACGGTAGAAACTTAAAACATATAGTGTCAATATGGAAAAAGCTGCCGTTTCAAAAATTTTCAAAAAAAATATGGAAACTTGTGCAATAGAGTTTTTATGGACGCTTAGTTTAATACTCAACTATTCACGAGATTAAAAGCCTTCTAAACGGTGTAACCGCACCTTTTAGGAACCTCGAAGAATGGCCGCTACCTCTTACCTGGCATAATTCTTAAATGAAGCATCATATTAAGTTGAAAACTTTACAGTTAAAATCAGCAACTCTAATTAGCCTAGTGTAAAAATTTTCAGACTTTTTGTTTCCTTTCTGAGGCGAAATATGGCCTTTTATGGCTCAAAACCCTCTTCGAAGTTTCTACCGTAATCCTACAGTGATAAAGAGAGATAGGTGATCCGCTCCATACTACAAATCCGGAGCCTACGGAATCCCCGTAGGCTAAACGGTGAGCTACTCACACTTGAGTATTCAATCACTCAAGAGTGAGCGGTACCCGGCCGCCAGGAGCAGGAGTGTAGCCAATCGGCGGCGTCTCCCTTTCAAGCCTAACTCGTGTACATTACTCTGTGCTCGGTTCACTCCGCCTTTCTTCATATATAAGGAGCCTCCGAATTTATTAGACGTTCCTTCCGGTCCACCCGGGGACACCGATACACTCTTCTCGGATAATCTATGGCGCCCGTGCGAATCAATCTATATTTCACAAATTGTCTACCCCCTAATCACTTGCTTTCCACCAAATTGTTACATTCGTTTTCTTGACAGTCCAAATTGGGATCATGTATGTGGATCGTACGAGGATGGTGAATAGAACCCGTCTGGTAGAGGTTTGATATCAAGTCAGTTTGTCCCTCTTGACTACAGCTATATGTAGGAAAAGTTTTGTAAGTATGCATATTCAAATACTATACATTATATAAATGCATATATAGGTCATTTTTAAAATCGTGACGACGGATTTGACTGCGGTCTTTGCGCCCACAGGGCATAAAACACCTACATAAAAGTTATCACCTCAAAGCTCAACTCAAACACTTCCAGTGTGTAAATACAATCACATGTGAGCAGAAGAACTATTCAAGTACTCAGACCATTGCATCGGGAAGTTCGCGAGTGCTTGCTCGGCCACCAATCATCCATGCCGCGAGCTGCCCGGTATAAACTGATATTGGACCCGATAAGTGACCGCGGCGCACCCTGTAAGCGCCCGATAGTTGAGCCGATTAGCATGCTTGTGAAGCTTAGGAAGAGTGAAAAAATTTTGGCCTGTCTTTCATGACAACGACTGAGTACAAATTGAGCAACTTGTTAGCTCATCTGTCGACATCATCTACTGTCGTCGATAACACTCAACCAATTGCTGAAGTTTGTTTCATGAGCATATAAACTCAAATGTCACACAACCCAACCCGAGAAGCGATTACCAGCCCCACAAACACTTAGGGTGGCCTCATCGCTGCGGCGTACCTCACGCGGGTTGCGCCTTAAGCTGCAGCGTGTAAGAAGTGCGGCCTTTGATAAGGCCCGCGGCACGTCGAGTGAGGTGATTGGGCCGCGACTCTCCCGATAAGCTCTTTCCAATTTTACTTTGGCCGCGGCGTTCCCCGTAAGATATACATGGCTGAAATTTTAAGGGCCGCGGCGCGCCATGTAGCATGCTTTGAGGCGCGAACTTTCCGATGCAATTGTCTGGGTAGCAATGAAAGCAAGAAAAAACGGTTTCCAGAAGACGCGTGCGTGTTGTACGTGGTCCCATCGTCACGATTTTTCGAATGCACGATACAATAGTATGCCGCACATTGTCATTAACACAATAAGTAGGAATGTTCGTACATAGCCAAGTAAAGTAAAAAATGGGAAAAGGTTGAGCACACCGCTAATAATTTTGCTTACATTTGTTACTCCAGCATTCATTTTTTTGAGTGAGTGAAGTGTACAATGATGTAAAAAAAACGACTGAAGAATAAGTACATACTTACATGCATCTCTTCAGGAAGCAAAGATGAAGAACAAACATCAATAGCGCCGTCTACTTCTAGCCTGACATCAACTATCACAGTTTACATACCACATCTCCAACATCCGGTATGACGTTACGAACTTTACTTTTGCTACTTTAACATTGACTGCGTTAGGTATGACCTCCACCACTTCAATTCCAACATCAGCGTCACCAGAAACAATCGTTACAACGTCTTTAACATCAACTACGACGATACCAACCTCTACTATTCCGACAGCGACCTCAACAGCACTAGAATCGACTTCTTTGGCTTAACATCAACTGCAGTAGAATCAGCAACCTCCTCTTCTGTTCCGACCTCAACTACTTTTACCACTTCTGCTGAAACTTCAACTTCAACAGAATCAGGGTCCACCTCTTCTGTTCCGACAACAACTTTAACGGAATCAACATCCACCTTGACTACGACAGTATCTTTTACCACTTCTACTGAAACGTCAACTTCAACAGAATCAGGATCCACCGCTTTTGCACATCAACTCCAACAGAATCAGCATTCACCTCTTCTTTTCCGATATCAACTTCAACAGAATCAGCATTCACCTCTTCTGTTCCGACATACAGTTCAACAAAATCAGCATCCACCTCTTCTGTTCCTATATCAACTTCAACAGAATCAGCATTCACCTCTTCGGTTCCGACATACAGTTCAACAGAATCAGCATCCACCTCTTCTGTCCCGACATACAGTTCAACAAAATCAGCATCCACCTCTTCCGTTTCGACATCCAGTACAACACAATCAGCATCCAACTCTTTTGCTCCAACCTCAACTGCGACAGAAGTAACTTCTACCACTTCTGCTCGAACTTCTATTTGAGGCCCCTTGTGTTTTTTTTTTTACGTTTTTGCACATCTTTCGCGTATTAAAAAATAAATGAAATTTCAACTTCAGAGTCGTTTATTGAGAAAATCAGAGATCAAATTTTTGATGGCAAAATGCAGATTTGGTTCCCGCACATTCAATCTATTCTCTTACAACCAAATTGATGTCATTCGTTGTCACAATTTCAATAAATTCATTCCCAGCATTTCAGGCAAAGTTGCCGGACGAGCGGTCACAAATACCGGCAGAACAAATTCAACTTGTTCGGCTGGTCCGGTAAAGGCGTGCGCCCGGTCGGTATCAGCGACCGCTCACCCGGTCATTGTGGGCGTTCACCCGCCAGCATTCTCCTCGCAGTCTGCTCTGCCGGTCTTTGTGGAAGCTGGCCGGTGGTTGTGGACAATCGGCCGGTCACTGCAGCCGCTCATTCAGTCTTAACGAGCGCTCACGCGGACTTATGGCCTGCAGCCCGGTTACTGTAGATGATGACCCGAATCCGTGACCGCTCGTTCGGAGAATCGGCCCTTCCTATCCAATTTGTGTAAGTGCTCAATTTGTATGAGAGCGATGTTGCTAAAATTACCCATATTTTTATTAAGGAAGTAGATCCCATGATAACAAGCAAACACAAGAACAGAAATCCAAGAATATGCACAACAAAAAAAACAGTTTAGTGAATCAAAAATCAATAGCCATGCAGCAACGTTTTGTCAGTTCATACTCTCTTTCTCTTCTTTTTTCTTTGAAAGAGTATTAGCAATGTAAACAATTTTTTTTCAAAATAAGCAATGTAAAGCCTCAGGAAGCACCCTTTTGTGAGCGATTCTTTCATATGTCTATCAAAGGTCTCTGCATGCTCTTCATTCCTTTCCCCTGAGTTCCCAAAAAACTGAAAACACACAAATATTATGCCTTTTCAAACTTAAACTTCAGGTAGCTTATCTTTGACTCAAGCGCATTGTCGGCCGCAGTTTTTCTTCTACGAGTGCCCACCCAAATCTGCGTTGAGACGTAAAGATCTGCTCATTTTCCTTTCTTCGCCGCTGACAAGCATAAGACTGAAAAAACCTTTTTGATGTGTTCATTATCTAACTTCAGGTTCAATAAAAGTAAGAATTGAATGACTCCAAACCCCTTTTATCTGTTTGCGAAATGAGGCTTGGGAGACGTATCTAAACGAGATTGAAAGAATAAAGTGGAAACCTACATCCATATCTGCGGCGTTGATTTATATGACTGAAGCTCCTCTCGTTTGGCATGCCGCTTTACTCCGGTCCTCAATAAAATGAATAGTGCCTTTGTATCCAAGAATTATGAAATGAAATTTCGGTCATGTCAAAACATGAGGTAGCCATCAAATTTTAACAGTTCAATTTCGCGCACTTCCATTGTAGGCCGCTAGGCCGGCGCTTGTAAGCGCTCGCCCGGCATCCTTCGATTGTATGCCGCCTGGCCGGTTGATTGACGGCCGCTTACAAATGAGCTGACGGCACATTCATTTGCTGCAGATGGCACAGTGCAGAGATACAGTCGAAAAACGATGTAGTGTCATACTCGGATATGTCTGCAAGGTTTCTCCCGCGCATTCAAAGAGTAACAGTTGATTCTTGTTATGACATCATCCTGCAGGAAATGAACTGATGTTGAGGCATAGCACGTGATCTAGCTGTATATAGTGATCACAATTTCTTGTGTGGAAGTGTTTTCGTGATGGTATAGCGAGCGCATATTGTACGAGATTTAGTAAGTAATTCTCGGTGGAGCTTTGCACATATATCATCCTCAATAAAAAATTATCTACAGGCTGTTCTTCAAAGCTGAAATAATGGCTTGCAAATTTTGGAGATTTGCAAGGCTCACGAAGAATTTATATGCCACAAGTCTGCAGCAGCATCTTGGAAGCTAATTTGGCATCAGCACTTTGATTTGCATGCTATTTTGAGTACTTCATTTGAGTTCCGCTTTGATCTTAGGTCTACAGCTACGTTCTGCGGAGGGCGAGGGCGTTTTGCAAGGGCGCAGCTTAAGGATCCCTATAGATCGAGAATTCTCATGGGCGTCATCCGATGGAGCAGCTTTCCGAGCTTAATATCAACCTTACAACCCAAAAACTCATTGATTTGAGGGCGAAAATGGCTAATAAACTTTAAAGAAATTAACATTTACCTGAATGCTACTTACCGTAATCCTACAGTAAGAAGCTACCTTGCAGATGATATTTTCTCGCGCTTCGGTCTCGAGCTCGCCGCGGGTTTTGGCTGAAATACTGATGATCTCAAATTGAATTGAAAATCTGCTCATAAAGGTTTTCGGCCCCACTGTTTACGAAAATATTAGTATATTCGCAGTAAGGAGTTTTTTTTAGTAAAGTTATACTGAGAAAAGTGTAGTGAAACCTCGCAACATGCAACTTCTTCTGCACAAATTCTCCATTTGTTGATGAACCAGCTTGTGTGTGTCTCGTAGTTTAGAGTCTGTGTGAGCAGCTCTATCGGACTGTGCTTGAATTAGGCTTCTTTCTACACTGTTCGCTGTTCGCCATGTTATGAGCTTATAAACTTGCATTCTCATGCATTTTGTCCAGAATTCAGTGGCTGTGGATTTTATCGGAATTTTACCAAAAGCGCATGTGTAACACAAACGAAATAGTATTGCGAGGAACATAGGTCGGATTTCACCAAAAAACAAACCATTCAAATTTTGGACTAGATTAATGAAAATGCAAGTTTATAAGTTCATAACCTGGTGAGCAGTGCGAAAAAAGGCCTGATTCAAGCATTGTCGGATCAATGCTCACAGCGGCTCCTAACTACAGATGCAAGCAAGCAGGGTTCATCAACAGATGGGCAAAACGTGCAGGAGAAGTTGCCACCTTGCGTGGCTTAACTACATCTTTCTCAGTATAACTTTACAACTCTTTACTGCGAAAATAATAAGATTTTCGTAAACCGGGAGGCCGAAAACCTTTATGAGCGAAGTTTCAGGTCAATCCGAGATCATCAGCATTTCAGCTAAAACCTGCTGCGAGCTCGAGAGCGAAGCACGAGAAAATATCAAATGATGCGATGTCCTTGGAAAATCTATCCATAAAGGTTGTACGACATGCTCAGAACGAAAATCGCATCTGATTTGCAAGATAGCTTCTTACTGTAGAATTACGGTAAATAGCATTCAGGTAGATGTTAATTTCTTTAAAGTTTTTTAGCCATTTTCGTCCTCATATCAACGAGTTTTTGGGCGTTGTAAGGTTGATATTAAGCTCGGAAAGCTGCTCCATCGGATGACGCCCATGAGAATTCTCGATCTATAGGGATCCTTGAGCTGCGCCCTTGCAAAACGCCCTCGCCCTCCGCAGAACGTAGCTGTAGACCTAAGATCAAAGCGGAACTCAAATGAAGTACTCAAAATAGCATGCAAATCAAAGTGCTGATGCCAAATTAGCTTCCAAGATGCTGCTGCAGACTTGTGGCATATAAATTCTTCGTGAGCCTTGCAAATCTCCAAAATTCGCAAGCCATTATCTCAGCTTTGAAGAACAGCCTACAGATAATTTTTTATTGAGGATGATATATGTGCAAAGCTCCATCGAGGATTACTTACAAAATCTCGTACAATATGCGCTCGCTATACCATCACGAAAACACTTCCACACAAGAAATTGTGATCACTATATACAGCTAGATCACGTGCTATGCCTCAACATCAGTTCATTTCCTGCAGGATGATGTCATAACAAGAATCAACTGTTACTCTTTGAATGCGCGGGAGAAACCTTGCAGACATATCCGAGTATGACACTACATCGTTTTTCGACTGTATCCCTGCACTGTTCCATCTGCAGCAAATGAATGTATCGTTAACTCATTTGTAACTCAGTATCCAACTCTATACCACCGTGTTCACGACTTACAAGATTGAAAGCTTTTGAATTCTTAGAATTTCTCTCTACAGTCTACCCTCTTTTGGATTGGTTCTATTGAGTAATAGTACTCGCTTTCACTGGTTGTTCCATCAGAAAAGGTACTGGCTAGTTTTTAGTTAGGTCTGGTCGCTTGTTCCGCGCTGTGTGCGGGCTTACATATACCTTGCGCATGATTATTGCAATATCGCGTCAAATACCAACTCCGAGCAAATTTTTAAACGGATACAAGCGAAGTGATTTTTTATTGTTCCTACACTATTCACACTCAGAAGGCTGATAACATCAACATTCACATTGAATGTTGATGTTATCAGCCCACTGAGTAATCCATCCAAACAAAAATCTAATTTTTGAAAATAACGTATACAGGGCTTATCAAATTGAGTGTCGTTTGCACCAGCATCTCCATCTTCGGACTGGGCTCTGCGTCTCTTCTGCGTACATGCTCCCTAATCACTTCCAATCAATTGAGGCTCCGCCTTTCCCACGCTCGCCCTGCGAAAGTGCTCAGAGAGCAGCCCAGAGAAGACGCAGAGTCCAGGGCGAAGATGGAGATGCTGGTGCAAACGACACTCAGTTGATAAGCCCTATACCTACCATAGTAGATTGTGGCACATCTATACATTAGAAGATGCGCGTCGCAGAGCTGAGTCGAATGGTACTCTTAGATATGAATTCATGAACTCTGAATCGAGATAAGAGTATTTAGAAAAATTAGGCGTCCGCTGCCTAACTTTGTCAACTAACTTCGGTGCTCGCCACCAAATTTTATTTTCACAAATTAGAGCGGTATTATATATGATGAAATGCCATTCTGCGTTTCTGTATACTTTATTTCTGTCCCACTTCTACACGCCAGTGCCGACAACATTTGGGCGTAAGAAATAGTCACGCACTCGGAGCTTACAAAGAAACGAAATGTTGCGTTAAAAACGTGCATCCATAACTCTCCTCCACTTTCGTGGAAGTTGCAAGCATAGCAATTTCTTCGCCAAAGTGTAGTGGGCGTGGCAGAGGCACCTCTTGACAATTAATTAGAATATACCGGCGCCTTTAGTCTGCTCCTAATTCGATGTGAAAAATCGTCAGTTGTCGTCGATAGGATGCAAGTGCAAGTTGGCAATGCTTTCGTGCTCGCTGCCAGACCATATGATCTGAGCGGATTACAAGGCTGCAAAGATGCGGTTAGGTAAGCATTTTTAGATTTAGAAGTGAAAATCAGCATTTTTCCTGAGGTACGTCTAGAATGCAAAGTTAAGCTCTGAGTTTACCGCTAAAAAACAAACCAAAGTAACATTGAGCAAACCTGAAAAGCTTTACAAATCAAAGTTTTGCCATTGTATTCTCTGAAAATTATACGGTGCTGCACCATGAACCTCACTTACGCGTAATGATTGGGCGTGACACCCAAGATCAAGCACTCACCCTTCAATAATGAGTAAAGTCTATCACATCCAAGCAAAGGCTTCTAAAAATTATAGACACATCGGTACCTAGCGATGATACAAGGCACATTTTCGTTATCAGAACCTATTTTTTTAAATCTTATGAAATCGTAATGTACAGAACTGTCTACCTGTTAGTGTGGTGAGAAAAATTACTATGTTTTGAATTACTTTCCCTTGTTAACTTCAAAATCGTTCCCGGTGAGGTATGAACGCATTTAAAATGATTCAGAAGCTTTCAGCTGTTCTAAGTACTTATTAGGTTGGTGCAAAAGTTTTGCAAGTTCTCACTTTGACGTGCTATAACTTTCTAAAAAATCCATATTTTTTAGTGCGGCAAAATCCATTAGAGGCACCAAACCTCTCATTATACAGCGCACATTAACTTATGTTAACATCGCAAATAGGTGGAAAAATGTGGATTGATAAGCAAAAAAATTTTTTTTCGGTAACCTCGTTTTTAACTGATCATAACTTCCTTCAAGAATTGTCGGTATAAATGATAAGTTGACTGTCTTGTAGCCGCAAGCCAGTAGTACAAGAAAAGTGCAAAAGGACTCAAACAAACAACTTCTGCGAGAAGAAGAATATTATTCAAAATTGTCCGCTTTTTTCGACATTTTTTCGTAGCCCTCAAAATCCCAAAATATGGAGATTTTTAATTTTCTGTGTACTGAACAGCTTCCACATTTCTGCAAAAACTGTCAGCATGAGGCCCATCCTTACGCTTACAGAAATGAGCAAAACTTTGGCGATTGCCCTCTTCAAAGGAAATCTATAGGCCACAGAATGGCCAAAAGCATCACTCATGTTGAGGCGCCGAGATCTCAGTCTAAGTAATCTCTAGGAAAACAGTAAAGCATGCTTAACGTAGAAAATTTCTACTACATACATTATTCAAATTTTCAAATGAATGCCTTAACTCGCGCTTATATTCTAGCCGGAAAAGTGAGTGCAATGAAATTCTGGTTTTGAGTGCGGTTGTATGAATCTCTATAAAGTTTTAACGAATGAGGTTAGAAGCTTCTTTCAACCACCGTTGAATAGAACATGAAAGACACTTCATGACAGCATGTTGGTTAAGTTTCACGGAGAAACTTTTATGGAGAAAAACTATCTTGAAACAAGGCCTAGAAAAACGCGCATTACTTTTGCACCAACCTAATAAAACAAAAGTCCAAATCGTTATTAAGAGTGGCTTGATCGCTTTCAAAAATGAGTCATAACATCATCCCTTTCAAAAGTTTTTAGCATACATGATTTAACCAAAAAAGATTTCAGATGGTTGCTCGAGGTACCTCGCTATCGCTTGTTTCGCCGCTTAGAAAACCCTAGTGCGCTTCTCCGTCCTTTATAAAGTTATTAGGTTGTCTCATAATTTTTTCAATCTTGAATTTTTAAAGCGATAAGTCACAAGCTTCTCAATTCTGATTAGAACGCAGGGCTCCGTTCGATAGAGCAAAGCAAGCTGTACAAGATGTCATGTAAGTGTTCGTACCAGATTCATCATATCACGAATCAGAAGCTGAAATCTGAGAATTTTCGGATGCAAAAAATCGAAATTTTTTTATATCTTTGTTCAAGAAGACTTGCCATAACCTAAACTTGCTCACGCATATACACTCTAAATAAGACATTCATTTGTGCCGTTGCTGTGTTTGTTTCTGTGCTGGGGACCGAGAAAACCAAAATTTTCAAGCCTCCAAAAAAGCGATGCTGCCCTGTTTTCATACAGGTAAATGTATACTACAGGCCTTTAAAAGTACAGTCACAGATTTCCAGCTTTCTATGGGCTCTAGCTCAACTTTTTTCTATAAAGTTGAGACTAACCATAATGCAAAGGAAGAGATGTCATTCTGAGTGGGTCCAGATACGCAACATACCGATTTCTAAAACAAATCTTACCCAGCGAAGAGAAAACAGTAGCACTCAAAATAGAGCTCTACATTTTCAATTTTGTAAGCTTAACTGTGCAAGTACTAAATTACCGTTAAAGTCTACCTGACAAAACTTAGTCGATGATAGTCTTTGCTCTGCTAAAAGTCCATTCTATGGTGTTTACAAAGAATTAAATTTTACTGGATGCCCTTGCAAAACTAAAATTCTCGGCATAATTCTTGGCCTTTGGTGAAGATTCATTCACGCTTCAAGAGATCCACTGCACTTGTCCTCGCGTTCTTTATAAACCATGAAGATAGGTCCACAAACACACATTTTAGTATTTAACATTGTGTGACCTTTGCACGGGTTGACTGACAAAGCGAAGAGAAGACGAAAGGGCTATAGGGCTTTCTGCACTTTGGAGCTACTACCCAGATCCAGAAGATCGCGTGGATTCTTCCATCTGCGAACACCTCGTCAGTATGGACCTCAAAGGAATGATGCTCAAGACTGTGGCCAATCAGGTACTGTGCGTTCTTCTAAATTATACCTCTCTATTTAAAGCAAGGAGTTTTCAGGTATCTGGGAAGTTCGTGGGCAACGTGGAAAGCAATCGAGTACACGGCAGAACTCGCCTAGCGACATTCCTGAACCTTTTTTCAATCGCATACAATATCATGGTGTTCTCAAGTCGGATATTTGGAACAAAAGCATGAACAGCAAAAGTTGCACAGTTACTCGTTCAACCCGCTATTCTCAAACAAGACAATTTTTCAAGAAAGTGCCATAACGTTATTATTCGTTCAACACGTTTCGGACCGCGAAATCGCATGCGGCGAAAAAGTGTGCACTTTCAGCCATTAGCCAACAAAGGGGCCTTATTTCTTAGACTGAATGCTACATTTGTAATCAGCTTGTCAGATAAGTTCCATACCCAGAGTTCTGAATGGTTTCGAAGTGTTTAGATTTTGTCGTTTGTGAAGGACTACTGTGCTCTCCTAAAAGACAGGAACAAGAACTTAGTTTCTAATAGTATCCAAAAAATGTTGTAGACGGTACACATCAGTATTGAGACTATGGTTCTTCTCTTTGATATCGAAGCAAAGGAAAGTAGCGACGTCGCACGCGTCGCTCGCGTCGCCGCACTTCGTTGCAACTGTTGTTCGATTTGTGCTCATATCTCCTAAACAAATATCGGCGGCACAACTCTACAGAGTCTTATGAAAAGCAGAAGCTTAGGCTTTTGACTTGATAACCTTGGACTAACAGAAAGCCTCCTGTAAACGCCAAAAAGATTATCAAAGCAGCGTGCTGCACCATGTGCAGCACTGGTCTGAAACGTGTTAAGTGAGAAAATGGCCACTAGTGATATCTTCCAATAGAATTATGTGCTATGTGTTGTATGTATTTGTATTTGTAATTGTATTTCACTACCATGGAAGTAAAAGCGAAGCAAAGCTGAGGATTGCCTTTCTTTTATTTTAAAAGCAATTACAGTTTTACTTTTCTATCATGACAGAAAGCTGTTGTCTATACACTAAAATTAAGTGATTTCCCACCCCTGCGGTTATCAGTAGTGTATACAAATCCCTTGTAAGAAGGAACTAGATAAGATATCGAATACATATTTGAATGGTCCCTAATCATCCCGATAATTATGCAAAAAGTCAACCCGAATTGAATCCTCTCTTGGAAAGATACAGATCTAATTCTGCGAATGTTCGATTCGTTTTTCTATTCTAACATATGAAATTCTTTGTTGTTACATTTTCACCTAGAAGAAAATTGAGTGTCTACTTGTCTCCACCCATCTCCCCATCTCCATTGATGGTACGCAAAATTGGGAATGGTCCATATAGATGATGCTGCGCGCAAATCATCTTCTTTGTAGACAGCACAAATGGTTCTACTACCTTCGAAAAATTTCTGAGTAGAGTGAGTGGCTCTTTATTGAAAAAAAAAATTTTTACGGGCAGCTAATGCACGTCCCTCCATTTGAATCGCCATTGCTCTTCTTCCTATTTCCACTGAACAAAATCGTGCACCGTCACTGCAGTTATCTTAAATTCAGATTGGAATTCTTATCCAATTATGTTTTGCTTTGTACACTTTGTACGATATGCAAGATGAAGTTTCGTAAAGACACCAAACGATGGCCACACAAACATCCCTATTTGAGAATGTTGTAGGAAGTCAACTGTCAAAAGTGCGATAAGGTCCGATTTATACACGCACAGGACATCGTACTAGTACCATACAGCTACACAGCAGTGGCGATCACAGTATTTCCATTCGCGAGAAGGGAGGGGGGGGGGGGGATTTTGAATAAAGATGCGTCTTAGCTTCACTCCGAATTACCTTTGATTATTTAGAAGTATAGATAATCACTCGCACATTTTTATAACCCATGTTTTGGGTGTAAGCAACAGCCAAAAATTTCGCTACCCTCCCCCCCCCCCTCCCCTGCTATGGGTATTCTCATCAGCACTCTTATTCTTAGAAACAGTTGGTAAGACATTTTCGATCCAATTCGAGAGCCCATATTCGGGTATAGCGTGACGATTTCTGTAGTCTAGAATATTTTTGTTGAATTTCTGCCCGTATACCAGAGTTTCAGTCCGAAAGAGGTGAACGTTTCTGTTATATTAGGTATTCCTAGATGAAGCTTCACGCTTCGTGTAGCGAATGTTGTAGTTCCACTTAATATTCAAATTTTGCTAAGTATAAAGATATGGAAAAGTCAATAGAAAACCGAGAGCAAACGCTTCCTTGAGAGTTCCGAAAGTCCCACAGATCAAGCTAAAATAACAAACAAATCAACTTTCTCCCTCTAAAAATTCAAAAAATTGAGATCAAACAATTATTGACAACACAACTAATCATTCAGCTCTTTCTCATAAGAAGGTACCGAAAGTTGTACAATACGACGCAACAGGCCCTTGCGCGGACAACTGGTGCAAACTATGCATCTTTGTTCATTACAATCTGACAGCTGCCGGGTAGAGCCGACAATATGGTTCCTCGCCAGAGTTTGCTGCTGTCCTCTCTAGTGAATGACCACACGATTTTCAAAAATCTGTCAATACATACTCAAATTGGTATAGTATATGCATTGATGAGACAAAACTTGTCCTATGTTACTCCAGCTGTACCAACAATATCATTGCACTACAATTGAAACGTTAGAACCGCGCTTACTATGGAAGCAATCCGCTGTCGCATTTTTGTGCCTGTGACGAACTAGTCGGGAATATACAGGGTGTTTGAAAAGTTTGTTGCCTCAAGTACTTCAACTGCGAATCTTAACTCATTTTGGGCTATATGTGTTCGCTAAACCTAGAAACCAATGGGTCAACAAAGAAAAACTTTTTACCTCAAAATACCCCAAAAACTTCGGAAGCAAACAAATTTTTCGCTTCCTTGAAGAGGCGGAAGAGTGCGTTATCCGAGTTGTTCTACTTTTTTTCAACGCCAGAAAACGGAGACAGCTTTCGTTTTTTTTACTACAAATAGTCCCAAGTTTACACTTTCCTTATATAACAAAAGTTGCTCAGCAGCTTGCGAACAAATATTTTTTTATGTGTTGAATTACAGCAGACAATCGCGGCACAAATACGTTAAAATTTTTTGTTTTGAAAAATTTTGAAAATCTTATTTCAACATGTATTTGCAGCGCAGCTCTCTGATCTTCATTGTATTGATTTCTAAAAATTTTGTACGCTTGTGAAGGTTTTAAAGATAAAATATAAAAATTTCGGTGCTGAGTTTGTTAACGAAAAAATCCTGAAAATGGATCACTTGTATTTCAAGGCACTGCATTTCAAAACGAACTTACTTCCACGAAAATAAAAGCACATGTAAAAAACCTTGAAGAAAGGACTTTTAGAAGGTATACCAAGTTTTCTGTAAATTATGTTTCCTTCTTTGTAACAAGCGTTTCAAGGAATGGGGTTTGGAAAGACATATTGATGTGTTTCAAGCTAACAAACAAACCACGATAAAACCTGGTTTCACTGAATTAACGGTTTGGCCTAATGAGCACAATAAAACAAAAGCGCGTCAAAATTCGAACCGGAAGTACTTTAGGTCACTTTTCCAAGCACCCTGTATGAGAAGAGCGCCTTTACTACACCAACAAAAGATCCACTCTATACTCCCCTCCCCCCCCCCCCCTTTCCACGCTTTCCTTTCCTTCTCCACACCATGCAGTTTGCAAAGCGCTAAGTGTTGTAGCTAGCGATAGACCAGCTCAGTTACTGTAACTAGTAAAATATCAATATGGCGCAAACCATTCAAAGTTGATTACAGGGTTTACAAAATTGTTGCTTGTTTTTTCTTGTAAAATAAGTGAAAAAAATCTTCTTTCGTCACTCTTAAATACTGAAACGGCAGTACCATTCTTGTGAATGCAGGCTCTATCACCACAAATGGCATTTCTTTGCAAAAGTGGATAGCTATACAAGGTTCCTAGTAACAGAAATGATCAAGGAACTCTTCTATCAGTTATTCTTCTGAAACACAACGGAAATGCAAGCATTCGTCATTCGAATACAGGAGTTCATTCCCAGGAGAAGCTGCAAAAATTCCGCGATAGTGATTTTTCACGTATTGTTCGTTAATTATTCACATAGTAAATTTATGGAGTATGTTAGTTCAAACATATAACAATCGGAGAGCTTTCGGCCACAGCATAGATTTTCAGATAACTTTTGTCTTTTGTGATTCTTCTTTTGCTTAAATTTGCAGCTCAGCTCGTACTGAAGTTTATAAAGACGTCTCTGCTAGGGCTCCCCCAAAATCTGTCGGCAATTTTAGTACTTCCACAATTCACCATGTGCAAATAGATATTAAACGAGTTCTTGCTAAGCTACTAGTGCAGTGGATAGTTCTTAGGAGATAGCTTCGATTCATTGCACGGGGCTGCATCGATGAAGTGGTGTTTAGTGAGCAATAAACGTGCAAATGAGAGCTCTAAAGAAAGTCTAGTAGGCTTGTCGCCTAGAGCCTTCATTAACCGCAATATCCGGGCTGAGAGAGCGTTTGATGGGAGCTTGTAGACTGAATTTGCTCATTTCGCTCTAATGGGCAATAAATGAGCTTTTATTTCGAGATGCCATCTTACGATGGGGCTTACTTTCATTCCCCATTGTCTGCGATTCGCTCTCTTCAGTCACAGTCTCCTCCTCAAAATTCACTTAATGATTCTCTATCAAAAATTCCATCAGAAAATGGCTTGAGATCTATTCACTATCGTTTTTGCGCAAGGTTTTTAATGGGATTCTCTCACTAAGTTGAATTAGGTAGAAGAGTGGAACAAAAACAAACTTTTGAAACCAGCTGCTGCAACCCCGTCAGTCTGACACAGCGGCATAAACAAATTCGTTGGAACTGGTCTAAACATGAAAACAATGCGATTCAACAAAGATTCATGAACAAAGGTTCTGGTAAAGTAATAGATGAACCTGTAAAGAACATGACAGTATGCTCTAGACATGTAAAGATTTGTATTCAGACATACACGCCATTCACCGGTTATTCATTTTATTCATTTTAAGTCCTTATTTTATGGCAATTTTTCATAATGAAGTCACCATATGGACATCGAAAAATGTTACTTTTTTGCTCCCACCTCAAGGGCCCCTATCCATATTGCATGTTTCTCTAGAGACTTCCAAAGACAAACGTAGAATGACTAAATCTGTCAATCACAGCTAGATAAAAAGATTGCGCACTTCGTGACAGCATTTCGAAGCTTGAGAAAATGCTTTTTTGAGAGTCAAGGTTTGGATTAGGCCCCTAAGGCAAGAAAAAACTCGTGTTTTGTGCCCATGCGGCAACTTGGCCACATAATTACGATAAATGCGATTTTTTTTGCAAATCTGGCATATCTATTGAATCTTTTTGAGAATAAACGCAAAAACTCGCCAAAATTGTGGCAACAGCCCAAAACCCTCACTGAAGAGGCGCTGGACCGAATGACTCTCCAAATTTGGTCCCGCTGAAGTTCTGGACATCTATTTTCGGGTTCGTATGCAAACACTATACGTCTTTTTTTGTCTCTCAGGGACGAGATTTCGAGAGCGCAGGTTACCTGCTGCACTTTCGGTCGCGCGTCAGAGATGAATTAGTGTTGCACTTATGGGTAGGCTTTCGTTTTTGCATTAGAATAGAAGAATGCAGCAGAATACCCCCTAATCATGGAAAGTTTTTTCGTTTTGAAATCGATAGAAATTTCTTGGATAACGGGAATCCCAGTGGCGGTGTGTGCTCGCTTTGTTTTCATAAAGTTGAAGAGATTTGTTATTTGAGGATCTCAAATTTCAAAGAGCATTGGATTGATGCATGAGTTCTGCGATAAAATTTTTGAAATTTCGTAATTTTCTTAATTGGAATCGTATGATTTGAAATTGATAGGAAAATCTATCTTGTGCTTTTTGAAAATACTTTGATCAAATTTTGGGCATATGGCAACGATACAAGCTGATGGTAGGAAACACTTGAAAAGTGGTTTTCTGATTTGGTCGTCAAAATTGCCAAAACGTTTACTGATCTAACTTCATTGTTTTGTTTTTATGAACTGTCTTTTTTGATTTAGGAAAAAATGAATATGTTTATATTACTTCAACATGCTTCTAGAATAGCGCTTTTAAATTTTTGCTTCAACGTTCCAAGTTTGATTAAAAACCTCTATTAGGCATAGATACGAGATTTATGTTATGAAAATCATATCTTATAAATTGGTATGTTTTTTCTAAATATTCTCAAAAACAAGTTTTGCTTTTGTTGCAAAGCGCATCACTTTCTTCCTTACTGAAGAAGAAGACATCGAACTCAAAACAAAACTCCGTCTAAGGGAGGAAAAGAAACGGAGAAATAGTGTTTAGCATTCTTACACATTCTGCTTGTTATAAGATAATCTTACTTCTAAGACAAATTAGACTTCGAAACTTTCTTATTCCAAAATAATTTTATATCTACAAAAGCTCTCCAGCGCGAGTCTAGCGGTCTAGGTTTTGGAACCGCGCTAATGCTATTCAAAAATATTTCTACTAGCCATTTCTCGAATTTATGATTTTTTCAAAGCGTTCAACCACCGCCGAGTGTGCAACAAAGTGGTTGCTCTATTTACTGTCCATCGCATAGTCAACGACACAGCTCCGGCCCTAGCATCGAGCAATGTCTTGTTTGTCTAGGAAAGCTTAGCTGTCCTTCTGTAGGTTATCCGCTACCCTGGTTTTCTCACGCCACTCAGTTTCACGCCATTTCTCGCTCTACCAGCAGCTCTCGCTCTGCGCTGTGTTCTTTCCTCAATCGCAGATAATTCCCGCACATTCTCGCATCATCGGTGTTGGAACTCGGCCACTGCGTGCCGGGTTCGGGTGTAGCTGGTCTCGTATTCACGATGTTATTCCTAAAAGCTGGATTTTCCGGCTTTTTGAAAGCGTCAAAAGGGTTCTCGGCCTGGCTAGGCGCAAACAAACAATTGCTCGACTGAGAGCAGTCAGCAGTAAGAAAGGGGACTACCGTTTGACTCAGAGGAGGAGGAGGGGGGGGGGGGGTGGCTTTGGCTGACTGCTGCGACCACCTCCTTTACATTCCGAAGACCTTGCTATTTACCGAGTACACGAGGTGAGCGACTCGCTCTTCGATGAGTGACTGCGATCGATTGAGTTACACACTCTTTCTCAAGGGGGTTTTCACGCTAAGTTCTCTATGTACGTTATGACTTAGTCTCGTCGACCGGTCCTTGTCCGGACGCTGACTCACTCGCTCGATATCCAGCCAAGTCTCCTGTCGCTGCTTGTAATCGTTCAGACTCATTTTGGCTGAATATCTGCACCTCCTTATGCTATTCTGAGCTATTTTTTCATCTTCTGAGGACACCCACCCTCCTTCGAGGTGTCGTTCCATTCTAATAACTGCATAGCAATTAATATGCATCAAATACCACTTCCCATGCTCATTAGCATCTCCTCCGCATCTTCTTTACCTCGTCCTTATCGATATTGCATCTTTGAAGAAATTTTGTGGGTTTTCATAAATTCCAAACTCTCCCTCGCACCCAAGCTGTGAAAGTGCTATTGCACTTGAAGATATCTTTGAATAAAACCGGAACCAGCTGAGTTCTAGCGCACCCCCGCCGAGCAATAGAGGCGGGTTTGGCGACAAAGGGTTATTTGTACGGTGCGCCGAGGGTAAGGCAAAGGTCAAGACCGATCGCTGTCCTGTGATCCCCCGTCGCCATTTATCTCTCAGCCAATGCCAACCCGTATCCCTTTTCTGCTCCTTTTTTTGCTATCATACAGGTGCAAATGTCATTTCTATTCCAGACACCAAGCTCAATCCATGTTCGTTACAATGTCTGCTTGCTTCTTGATGAGACAACGCTTTTTACACTATTTCCATATCCTTCCGCAGAATGGAACACACCTCGCGATGCTTTTTCTCTTGCTTTCAAGGCCATCCTTGACGTATCCATTTCCTCTCTGGAGCACTTCGAATTTCCGTCCGTGATGCTATCCAGCTACCAATTTCTCACTTTGACTTCCAGCAACAAAACATTTTTTTAGCAATTTGTGCGTATTTGTTCGTCATCGCTTGAGGGCCACTCGTGCGTGTACATTACCACAATTTCTTCAGAAATGAGATTTTTCTATGCTCGAGAGTTCTTTTTTTTTTTCAAAAAATGGTGAATGCAAACAAGCGTCATATTCCAATAAATTATGTATCAGAGCACGTCACGCCGCCTGTTCTGCACAGATACAAAAGAGTGCAGTTACACGAAAAGCCTCACCGAATGAACATTACTGTGTGTACTAAGTTTTATTGCCGCGAAGGCTACCGACAAACACACGCTAAGCAGCTGCGAACGCGGATTTGCGCTATCACATTGTGGTTGCCTGCGCGCCGCGTTCGCGCTCGATCAACTTATACGAGAGTCGCCTTCGTCCGGCAATGGACTATACACATAGTGCATGTATCTTGTATTTCTCGAAATTCCTCAGCTTTGTACATCTTTCTTACGCTGACGATTAGTTGCTTATTGAGAAATAACCTCTCCAGTGCAGTTTGTAAATATAAGCGAGTTTTATTCATCGCCTCTACTATAAAGAAATACCCAAGGGATTGTGTTGGAAAGACCATTTTGAATGCGTCTAATCCCAAAACTAGGGGAAAGCAGGTTCTGTAAAATCAGTGTAAAATCGTAATAGACCGCTTCATGTTCTTTTTTTTTTTGCCAGAAGAGTACTATGAACGTGTATTTCTCTCCGCTCGTTCTTGAAATAAATGGCTCTTTGTTTCTCAAAATTTGTGCACTTTCATAAGCGATTTGCCACTGAGATCGAAAAAACCCTACTCCCTTAGATTACCAAAATTTCGCCCATTCATGCATACATCTCACGTTATTACACCTCATTCAAGCTCTCCTTTGCCTCTCGTTCTGCAGTCGTTTTTGGGCAAAGCTTCTCTCACCTTTTTTCCATTTCGTTCTCTACTTTTGCATATCGCATTGCTGTGTGGTCTCAATTTCGTTTTGTCGACGAATACGCTTATTAATGCAAATGCAATTGTTTACGAGAGGCGTATTAGCGAGTATTTGGCGTTTGCGGTCGCCAGCAAACAGCCAGGTGAAGTGTGGTTTTCTCACGAACCGAGCCTTTCATTGTGTTCCTCATTGAGGTCGCACTCCAAAACAGAACCGGTTCGAAATCGCTTTGGATGAAACCGCACATCTTGCGTCTTTCGCATCGGGCGATCCATTTTCCAGCTCTTGATCCATTTTTTACGGGTCTAGCTTTTACAAGACCCCGCGTGTGGCCTCCTGCTGATAACTGTATTCGAGTGTTTCGCAGGGTGGTTCGCTCGGTTTGTGTATGTGTGTGACCGTGGCGGCAAGCGAAGAGAGGACTGGTTTCGGCGCCGTTGAAGGATTTGGATTAAGTCGAAAGAGTCGCAATGAGAGAGGTGATGTCGGTGTGTGTGTGTATTTGGTCGGCAACAAAATTGCGTATCCTCTCAATTAAGCGTGAATCGCCACCCACCCCACCCAGCCATTACGTTTTATGCGCTTGAATACGTAAATCCCCTCGTGCATTTGTGTGGCTAACTTCATGGATCCAACATCCGACACACGCCTCGGCTACCATCAATGCAGCTTCCCCTCTCCGAGCTGATTCGTTCCAGATGGAACGGCATATCAAGCCAAAGTCGCGTTCAACTTGATTCTTTGCGAAAAACCAGGAATTAAGTGTCTCATGAGAGCCGTTGATTTTTGTTTTCCACTACGACTTCCACTCTTTGCTGTTCTCTATTTGCGTCGCGGCGCCGGTCACTCCTAGCCGAACCCATTTACAACGTCTCGGACTTGCGCATCTTCGCATGTAATTGCCACCGCCTCCGTGCCGCTGACATCGTCGACCTTGACGAAATCACTTCGAGTCGAGGTTGCGACACTTTTGACTCCGAAGCAAGTTTGGTGCATCGATTGATGTCCTCGACAACATCTGGCGGCAGGTTCTTTGCCTAGTCGCTTCTCGCATTTCTCGCTGTCGGTGACTTCTCCGGGCCTCGTTGGAAGCCACCGAATGGGACGGCAGGTGTGACAGTTGTAAAGTCGAGAGCAGGCTGTGCGCCCGAACTACGGAAAGCGAACAAATCGGACTCGGTCGTCGCGCCCGTCGATGAACGAGGTCCAACATCTGGCAGAAACGTCGACGCACATCTTGCCCAAATGACCCTGCCCTCGTGGTGTGCAGCCAGCCTCATTACGCTTTGTCCCATCAAGCTTACTTATTCGAACTCTCTTTGCACTCTGGTCTCCCTTCTGCTGTTAATTACAATCCTTATGGAGGATTTACCAGTATAGGGAAGAAAATTTACCCGGAAGGGCGTGCTTCCGGTCTACTGCTCTTAGCGCTTCGCTTATTTGCATGCTCTCATCATCTGTCGCTAATCGCCGCCAAGAAATGAGCATTGCGTCTTTTCTACCTTGTGATGCTCAATTTTTCAGATAGGGTCGGTCAGTACAAAGCTTTCCAAATTTTCGTGACGACCCGCTTCCACTTAGAATGACAGCACTCAGCAATGGACATTGTTTGACCGAAGGAGGACAACGATGGGATGATCACGTTCGTTTTCTTATCTCTTTTGCTTTTTTATTGAGAGAGTGAGCATTGGGTTGTGGTTGTGCGAGGTGTAATATGACTTTACAGTGCTATGATTTTTCTTATAAGCAGCATTTTTCATGAGAAATTTTCTAGAGTTTCTTAGAAAACATGTTTCAACATTAGCCAAGGTGATTGCCATAATGTCAAAAGTAGGTGTCATTTTTGCAGATTTTTTTTTGATTGAGGATGCTCATAAGCCCTGAGGCACTGAAGAATTTAACCGCAATGATTGCTAACACCTGTTGGCAGATCTTGAGAATAAATACCAACATTACCACTCTTCCCACTTCATACCTGCGCATGTTAACCTTTTAGACTCTTCATAACATTTTCGCGCAAATGCAATCTTTTATTACTGTACTTCAATCACATCTGTCCATTTCATTGTCAAATTATTCGATAATCAAATCAATCACTAAAGGATGGATGGGTCACGAATTTTTGCTGTTTGCAAGAAATTTACATCATCGACATTCGAAGTACCAGGTAGCCTGCTACAAAAGAACTGCATGAGTGAGACCGTTAGATGGTTAGCAATTTTCTGAATAGCAAAATAATGTTTTCAAAATGAAGAAAGTAGCTCTCCAGATAATTTAGGTTACTTGTGAATAATCTGTTAACAAGTTTTGCATCGGTTTTTTCCAGACCTCACAGAAATGTGCTACTGCTAGGTTATGAGAGGAAGAACAAGTTCTCTCTGAGTCACTAGTACGCAAGCTAGATAAAAATCGGTAAACCTTGACAAGCAAATGCAAAAAAAAAATCCCAAAGTGCTAAGTGCATTCCTGTTTCTCATTTGTTCGCCGTTTACAACACATGCATTGTCGATTCTCTCAGAGTGTTACTTTTTTCTGTGACTCAAATCTATGGTGACAGATTAAAGGAAGTTTTTTAAAATGTTTGTTGAATCAATCTGCTGTCCTATTAAATTGGAAAATGTCAATCATCAATTTCAATTTTCTTATGTAGAAGTGAGCTACAGCAATAAACTAATGGAATGCAGTTCAGCCACTCTTTTTTTATTTTTCTAAATCAGATAAATTCGAATAAAGTAGATAACGGTTTTCTAGCAAGTTTTTACAATCCAGATAGAAACCTGTGACATCTTTGTCGAACGGTTCTGCAGCTAGAAACTGGATTCCTATAGAGGATCTAGCTGCTTCACTTTCTTGGCGCTAGGGTCTGACATCTAACCGCACAATGCTTCTTTGCTTTTGGGACACATAAACTTCTATACCGGAATAGTCCTAACTTTGTTAGAACTATTCCGGTAATATTTACATTCCCTGAACTTCTCTCACTCACTTGACGCTCATGACTTCCAGGCTAACTTGTTTCTGTTTTTGTGAGCTGAGAATTTTTCCGTTACATTACAACTTTGACATGAAGATGGAATGTTTTTCGCTCAAACAGGTTGCTGGTAGCTGTCATTGCTTCTAAAGCATCAACAATATTTCACTTTGTACCCAAGCATTCTTCTAGGATCTTACTAATCGCTAGATTTGCTTCTTTACCGATCACGATTAAGCTAACCCTTTTAACAACCCAGCTCTGCTTCAAAGCTTATCTCTAAACACTGCTAATTGAAAAGAAAGCTTCGCTCTGACTTTGCAGACGCATTTGCGCGCTGGAAGTCGCTTGTCGTGATCATCTCCCTGCAATTTATAGTTATTGACTCGTCCTTAGGAACCTGACTGCTGTGTTTTTCATCAGCCAACTTCAGATCGTGTCACGAGACCGTGTACGATTGAGCATGTGCGTGACGGTTGACGATCAGGCCATTTATCATAAATTCGACGTAGAACTTCCGCTCGGTCCCGTTGCGTCTACGCCGCTGCTATTGAAATCAGTGGGGTGCATCCAAGAAATGTTCGACAGTTCGACACAACAACTTATCACCAGCGATATTCGGTTAGTGTGTGTAGGACGAAGAAGAGTGGAGTCGACACCGGCAACCTGTTCTCTATGTGAGAGAACAGGAATCAGCAATGCGCGATGGCAGTGGCCAGGCTTTGTCTCTCGCGCCCATTCCTAATCAAACCACTTCTAGCCCTGTTCTCCCTGTTGCTGTAGAACCGAAGCGGCGGTGTCGGTGTGGAAACTGCGTTTATTAGTGCAGCCGAAGAGCGATGCAGGAGGGGTAAGTGGATAGGACGCTCGGGACACACTCAGTCGGCGGGTTAAGCGCTGCTCAGTCAACACTGCGACGAGCTTGCGGAGCTGTGTAAGACATAGCGTTTGTCCTTTGGCCCTCCATACGACGTGACCACCCGTAGCATTTGTCTTTTCTTCCCGGCTCACGCGCGGGTACAGTCCACCAGGAGCTGATTAGATCAGTGCCCGCTGCCCCTGCTGGCGACCGTCCACGTCTCGGCTGCGAAGGTCATCGTCGCTGATAGTCATCGGCCAGGCTGCTCCGATTCTGCGCCACCTTATCCGTGTCCCCATCTCATGCAGATCTGCCCGTCCACGTCGCCGCGCCAGCCCAACCTGAGCTGCGCAGATCCCCGCCGCCGCTCCCGGCCAGGCTCCGGCTCCGTCCAGTCGTCTGCCGGTCCTGTTTGCCACCTCCCTAATCCGTTTGCGTTCGGTTCCCGTGAGAGAGTACCTGCTACCGCCAGCCTGCTCTCACCCAGCCAGCATCGATCCATCGAGTCGTTCAGCGAACGTCTCAGAACTTGTGTGCGAGTGTGTTTTGTTCGAGGCTAGAGTCAGGTGCTGATATCGTGGCTGCAAGCATCGCGCTTGCTGCGCTGGTAGATGCCGAGACATCCACATCGCCCCCATCACACATTCTTCTTCGCGATTTCTCTCCACCTAATCGATTAGCGCGATTGTCTCTCGAATGTAGTCATCATTTGCTGCCTTACCATATAAACTGATTCTCGGATGATTAGGACAGTTCTTCACCGACGAAAAACTGCGCTCTCAAGGCCACACACATCGTCTCTCCTACTCAAATTCGCAATAGTACATCTACCTACTTCTGAGTTTTACTTCGCTCTCGCCACGCTTTACTATCCAACTCTTTTTTTTTTTCTGAACAGTTGTACAAACTACTTGAACCTTTAGTCTCTGTGAGTACAATTTCATGTATCATCGAGAGATTTCTTCTCACAACTCTTTTTCACCTATCTCATATGCACTACGATGCGTTTTACTTTTTGATTAGAGTTCATGCGACGCAATCACTAATATTCCATTGCCAACTGGACTCTCAGTGAACATCCATCAGTTTAGTGAATTCCAATTTGTTTTGTTTTGTAATGTCGGTGTTACTACTTGATCTGAGCCGTATTTCTCGTAAATCATCTGCATCTAAGATTCGCTAGCTCTTATTCATGCTGTAGATAAAACAGGTTATTAAGCAGATTTCTGATAGAAGTGTGTATAATCCCAGCGTGATCCATCATCCAAGCCTTAGACGTGACAGAGTGAAAAATTCTTTAACAAGCTCAATGACGACCGTAGCGAGTCCCGTTGTGAACGCCTGATGCTCACGTAGCCGGAGAGCAGAGTTGTGTGGCGATATAGGTAGAGACAGGCTAACGTTTAACGAGCTCTTCAGTGTTGTGCTACATATAATACGTTCTGTGTTTCGCGTCGCTCTCTCGTGTGTGTGATTGGCTGTGCTAACGTGGTCTGCTTTTCTTGCAGAGTGGTGGCGGATCGAGGTCTTCACTCACTCCTCCATCTTCAACGGACGGCTATCCGAGCATTGCCGCTCCCGGGATGACCGCCGACTCCGCAGCAGCGCTGCTCCAGTCCCATCAGCACCACGCTAATGGTACCCACCTTACGCTTCTCTCTTCACTTATTAATCTCCGTTTTCCCCTTCCACACACTTTGCACATTTACTAATTGCTTGTCACGCGCTATCTAGGCGAACGGCTTCGGCACCGTGCCCCGCCACCCGCCCGCTTCTAACCCGGCGGGGCGCGGTCTCGTGCTGTGGTGGTGGCTTGCAGTGGCTAGCGAGCTGCATGCTCCCTTTACTTTAGCAGTCGTAACCCTAGCAGCGTTTGATTTCTACGTCGTACATCTAAAGCCACCCCTAGGAGATCTAATTGAACTTTTGTCCGCTAAAGTGGTCATGTTTGCGAGACCTTGATGGAATGCCGAAAGTCGAGATTAGGCGCCTAGAGATAATTGATGAGAGATTCACGCAAGATTTGGTTTTGAAAGCGCGTTTGGGTTGATGAATTCTAGACTCGCGTAGATCCACATCGAGAATGTGTAAAGTTTTGAATAGTGCAGGAATGTGCGAGGCCTGTGAGTGACGCATCGTAAAAAGAGACATCTTCAGACTGTGGCTATCTGTCTATTAGAGGGGAACAGGCGCGTTGCGAAGCGCAGATACAGATACAGGGAGGGCAAACCCGGTGTAATAGCGAATGCTGTGCCCAGTTGGGGTCACGTTCCCAGTGTTTCCCACTTCCATGACTGAGCACATCAACTCCAATCTGCTCATCCCCAGTGCAGTAGGTAACTGAAGCGCACCCTGTCTTACCCTTTTATCAGTGGTGTCGATCGAAATTTTATCGAAGTTGCTCATCACGCTCTCAAACGAGATCCGTTCAGGCTCCAGCGTCGGCGCTGGTCAACAATACTCGGTCGAGTACTTGTCTCAGTTGCTCAAGGATAAAAAACAGTTATCTGCCTTTCCAAATGTCTTCCATCACTTGGAACGACTGGCTGATGAAGGTAGGGACCAGTTCGTTATGCCTTTCAGCTCGTGATTATCTTGGCAATATGCTTATTTCAGAAATTAGCAAGGTTCGAGTGGCTCTATTCCAATTCGAGTTCACGAAGGAAGAGATGAGTCTTCCAGAACCAGAAGGAGAGGTTCAAATCACCACCGAGAAGGTTTTCGTTCCTGCCAAAGAACATCCCGATGTAAGTTACCTGTCACTATTTTCACTCAAAGGCATCAATGCTTTTCTCGATACAGTACAATTTTGTGGGACGGATTTTGGGACCAAGAGGAATGACTGCAAAGCAGTTAGAACAAGAGACAGGATGTAAAATTATGGTTCGAGGGCGAGGATCCATGCGTGACAAGAAGAAGGTAAGAGAGCAATCTCCTACTTAGATAAGATGTTCTTGATGTAATTGTAACTTTTAGGAAGAGCTTAATCGCGGTAAACCAAATTGGGAGCATCTCTCTGAAGATCTGCATGTGCTAATTCAGTGCGAAGACACGCCTAATCGAGCGCGGATCAAGTTAGCCAGGGCTGTTGATGAGGTCAAAAAACTCCTAGTGCCAGCGGTAGGTTTTTCGCTGTTACTGCATTAAATTTAAACGACCGAGCCACCTATTACTTCGGTAAATTGCAAATTTAATGTCTGAGGTGAAAGGTATCTTGAATAATCAAATATATAGTCTATCACAACGACTGTAAACGTGCTTTTTATTTACATTTGAGATCAAAGCTTTCTGAGGCTTCCTTCAAACCAGATGCTGTTGGAATTCTGGCTTATCTTCTTTCGTGGTTCGTGCTTTCTTAGATGATGGATGGACTTTTTAAACGTTTTAGTGTAAGCAAATCCAACTGCCATCTAATCGGTTATTCATTGAACAAAAAAATACAATGCGCCCAGCTTTCAGCAGGTTCGACACAGCTTCGTTAGATTAGCGAGTGCTTTCGTAGCTTTGTATGAGAAATAAAAGGCGTAAGCAACCACGAGAAGTGTTCGCGTAATCGCTGAGAATCTAAAATGTGGCCCGATTGTCAAGTTTTTGCCTTTCATGACATGATAGAATTATCTTAACGACATTATACTTCCACATCTTGCACTCGCTTTATGGGAACTGAACTTGGCTATGGTTGCACTAAAATTCGCTGTAGCAATCAACTTACCCATCGTAATTCAACACCAAATTATCAGCTAGTCTTCGATGCATCTACAAAAATCATCCTTTATTTCTTTGCTGCATGTCACATGATTATTTATAGCCGGAGGGTGAAGATGAGTTGAAACGGAAGCAACTTATGGAACTCGCTATTATCAATGGGACATACCGATCTGCAACAGAGCAGGCAGCTGCCGCTGCCGCAGCCGCGCAACTGAAGCAGCCATTGGCCGCTGCTCTCCGTAAGTACTTATTGCCCTATAATTAGCTATTACCTTTTGGCCTCTTTCACCTATGAATATGGTCTAGTAAACAACAGGAAGAGTGTGGTTTGTTTTGGCAGTTCCGAGGGATGCGCGAATCACCCGGTGCAATTGCACAATTTTCTCGGCATACTTACACAAATGTTTTTATTCATTTTTTGTAGATTGGAAGTGGAGTGATTGTAAGAAATTATGAACGTACGAACACATATTAGGGTACTTCAAGGGGTTTTTATGGGAATGTTGCTCGTGGATTAGAATGGGCTACTCATGCAAATACTCATTATTTCTTAGCACCCTACGTTTGCTTAAGAAAGAAAGTAACAGAATATTTCAAAAAAGCTTTGCATGAGAAAAATAATACGTACAAAAAAAAGAATTTGGGCTGGTTCTAAAATAAAGCTGAGTGCCTTCTCTTCTGCTCTTATGCGTAAGTATGCAGACTTGGTGCATATGCGTTCAGACTCTTGCACATGCTTTATGGAGTGATATCAGTTTTGCTATGCGAATGTCAGAGATAGGCAGGTGTGATCACGAGCAAAAAAGAAAATTCATCTTGTTACCTATCGAATTAGAAATTTTTCTTGTGATTGCGCGAACAGTATCGTGGATGGCAATTTTTCATTGCAGTAGAACCAAGTGATCTAGAATGTTGAGGAACAGCTGTAGGCACGCTTGAAGAGCATGTACATCGCGTTATTTTTCCTCCTGATGATCGACAGCTGTAAAGCTGAGGTTTTAGAAAACACTCCTTAAGCTTCGAGAGATACAGGATTGCGCATATGATTATTCCTTAGAACCAAAGAATTTATGGGAATGTGTGACCTTCCGGATCCATCAAATGCTTTCAGTTTTAGAGGCAGCCGCTCTGTCTGCTCAGGCTCGAAGTGTCCTGCCGATGTTTGCCGCTGGTAACCCAGCTCTGGCTCGGTCACCAACCATGGCGGTAGCTGGTGCTCCCATTGTAATGAGTCCTGGGCGAGGAGCTGCCGGGCAGCAGAACCAGATGTTGGGTTTACAGTCGCAGTTGGGCGCAGCTGTGGCTGTGAGCAGTAACGCTGCTGCTGTTGCGGCGCAACAAGCAGCAATACTGCAACAACAACAGCAACAAGCGGCTGAATATCAGCAGCTGCTTCTCAGGTTTGTTGTATTGAGTTCATCATATTCTTTTTACTTCTTCACAAGCAGATTTCTCTTTACTTTCTAGGTCACAAGTTTATGACATTTTTGTACCGTTCATGTTCATGCATTTCCTAATTTGCATTTCATCTTGACGGCGAAGAAAAAAGCATATAGATTTGTTGCTTTCCTTGAATCTTGCCATCAATTTCCTCACTTTCTAGATCTGGTCAAATTTCGCCATATCAATCAATGTATTGCAGCCAAGGCTTGTCATACGAGAACTTGGCAAACGTTGCCGCTTTGCAGCAGTTCCAACAGGCTCAAGCACAGCAACAAGCGGCCGCTGCCCAACAGCAATACAGTTTGCTAGGAGCACAATACTCAGATTACGCTGGTGTAGACATTGCTGCTGCTCAAACTGCTCCCGGTGGGTTTCTCGTTCGGAAATGGGCATAACTGCGTTATTTGTTGCCTCTCTTTCCATGAGTGATGCTAGAGCATCTAGAGTGCTATCTGCTTTGGGAGTCAGATTTATATCAAAGAATTTTTTATGTCTAAATTTGCTCTTCAATTATTTCGACCACTACCTAGGTAGAATTTCTGTTACATGATGTAATCGCTCCTACACAATATCTTTGGCGAGCAGTATTCAGTTTGTTTTTGACTTGTTCCGAACATTGTGATTGAACCTAGATACGTGTACCACATGTCTTCCTTCTGCATATCGGTGACCGTGATATCTGCAATTGTGATGACTTGCTTTTTGAGTTTGCATTGATCTCATTTGCATTTCCATCTCAGTATCGCTTAACAAATATTGTAACAGTTTTGTACTGGAGCGTATGGCTAGTGAGTGCATGATACAACACTAAGTATTCGACATGCTAACTTTAACCAAAACTGCTCAGCTGCGCGTTACGTAGCACTTAGACGCGAGAGAGGGTAGCTGCTAAACAAAGCTTCGATGTCTTTCAGTGAGAAGTGGGGTCATTCAGCACAGAGAAGGAGCGAGCCGCTGCTGGCAGCCGTGCACCCACATTAGTGGCGGCCGCACAGGCTACCGTACCCCACAAAGGGACTGTCAGCAGCGGCTACTGTAGATTCCATGCAACACTGTAACGTTCAATGTTGCTAACAATGCTAACGTTCAGGTGCCATGATTAACCAACGTCGTGTTCTCGGCACTTCCCGTGACCACCCCTACAAGCAGTAGGCGACGGCCGGCAGAAGCAGCTCGACCCTGCGTAGGGTCCTACCCGATCGATTCGTATTGGTTGGCTTATCAATCGGTTGTGGCTAACGCGTTGGGATCATAACTGACATCACATCATAACCAGTCGCAGATCACTACAAGCCGGTGCTATCCTTTTCTTTCCCTGTCCCGCTGTGTTCTTCAGCTTCCTCTCTCATATTGCAGTCATTTTATATAGTCATCTTTGGGAAAAGATTTGCATTCTCGATTGCCTTAGTCAAGTGTCCTCAGACTATCCAGTTCGTGCCTTGCTTTTCTTCAGTGTCTTTTCAGTTTCTTTCTTTACTTGTTTTCAGCTCGTTTTGTTGTTACATTATGTGCGGTTCTGTATTAACACATCAACTCAACTTCGTTTTTTTATGGTAGCAGCAAGTTTGAGAACTTGTAGAGCATTAGTGCGCTCATCTACCTTCGCACTACTACTTACAGCACTTAGGAGTCGCATCAGGCACACTTCCTGTAATGCATGGATTTCACATTACTCCTGATTTCAAGCTCACATATTTATAATGCGTTGTTGCTTTGCAATAGCACGTGACCTATTGCATACGTCTTAACAGCATAATTGAAATTTCTATGTTCTTCCCAGAGATGTACATATATTATTTTCGAATGATAAATTTAATAAAGATTATATGATGTGCTCGACTAAGCCTATCCCTATGCTATCGCTACAACTTGACTCAGATTTTCGTTGAACTGTCCAAAGAATAAAGAATCTGCTTTAAACCAGAGGTTCGCTGTAGCAAACATGAGACTTATTACCGAGATCCCTAGAACATATGCTCAGTCATTTTGATTAAATATGTGAGCTTCTTGCACACAATACGATAATCGACGATACCTTAGAAGATACTCGCCAGTAAACCATTTTGTTTTGCGGAAGGGAACTTGCAAACGTATATTACCACTTATACATATCCATTCAAATTAAAAGGAAGAAGAAAGCAAGGAGAAATTCCTGGAATTCTACAGCTTCAAATTCTACAATTCGTGAAGTAGCGCGCATGGTGTGCAGTACGAAGGTCAAGCTACAAAGGGGATAGATATGTGGAAGAGCATTGCATACAATGCTTTATGGTGCTGTTGTTGAGTGCCCACATCTTTTCGCTATCTAAGGAGTCCATTGACCCATAAACCTGGATCAGATTATTTTTCAAGAGGTGAGACAACGCTGTTGCTGATCAACGCTGGATATGGATATGTGAACTGTATCGTCTTCATTTAGGTCACTGCTTCTCTGTTTCGACGTGTGAAAGTTGAAAATGGGTCAATTTTCTTACGATCTGAGGACGTGATAGAAATCCGCTGCCATCACTTTTCGCTTTCTCACAGTCACGATATTTTTATGTTTTCGACTCGTATCATTTCGAACACTTCCATAGTAAAGTTACCTGTGTTAGTCGTGAAGTGTGAAAAATTATGCATTTAAAATATCGCACTGAACTTGTGTGGTTTCACTCACTACCATACAGATTCCAAAAAAATGTCCTTACTATTCCAAAACATTTTGCACTGATTATATAAATACATTCTGCAGAGTCGGCTTCAAGACTGAGATATAAAGCAAATCTTCTCCGCTCTTCATTACTTGGGATAACGGTAGAAACTTTGAACAGGGTTTTGAGCAAATGAGAAAAGATCTTGCATCAAAAAAAAAAGACTGCAGAGAGGCTGAAAATCCTAAAGTAGAGACGAGAACTTGAAGGCAGCGTCCAGGCAAGTCTGAACCTATGGGGATTTTACATGGAAAGTACTTTTGGGGCTCTAACTAAGCCAGTGCCCAACCGGCAGCTCAGGTAGCCTAACAGATATTCCCCTCGAAACTGGACCCCGCGACCGCGTTTCGCATGGATTCATGGCGCAAAGGTGGATCGTGGCGCGAAACTGCCATGAATCCATGCGAATACGTTCGCGGGGGCCAGTTTCGAGGGAAATATCTCAGGCGTTAGGGCACTACCTGAGCTGCCGGTTGGGCAGTGCCTTAGTTAGGGCCCCAAAAGTACTTTCCACGTAAAAGCCCCATAGGTCCAGATCCGCCTGGACGCTGCCTTTAAGAAAAAAGCATTGCATTTTACGGTGGGCCTTTGTTTGCCAATTGGAAGATCAGTTTATGAAATTTTTAGACTGTTTACTCTATTTTTAGCGCCTCTAAAACCCCATACGAAAGGTTTCAGGAGTTGGAAATTTTCTGAAATTGCAAAATTTGCAAAACGCCGCGATGCATGTTCCCATCGTAACCTACAGTAAAAACCGACCGGGCTTTGCTCCATGCTGCAAATCTCGATTGAGACTTTCACAAAATGCATCTAGAAATTGGCGAAGTACATTAAGACAAGAGAAATTGTTAGATCTAACAGCACGAGATTTTTTGGAACACCCCGTATATCATCACATAGCTCATGACTAATGGAATGAGAAGATTGGTGTTGTCATTACCGACAAATCAGACATTTATTTTCTAAGAGATTCTACTTGCCCATTCATTGTCTTCTTTTGTCGCACATCAACGTTTCTTCAAAATTTTCTGTTTTGTCGGACTTCGTACTTTACAACGGAAATCTCCAATGTTTTGAAATGTCGTAAGACCGAACGTTAACGTTTTTAATCGTTAAATTAACTGTAAATTTGCTCTTTTTTCATGACAGGCAAATATATCAAACATGATAAACGACTTCGTTATTACAGCTGATTATTTGGGTGGTTCCCGAAATTCTTCTCGTTTTCGGACCGAATAATGAATCGCATGAAGCAGCGACAACGACATTTTGAGGGGAACTCTAGCTAAGAAACTCTTGTTCCAGAATTCAGAGGACCTTGATAGTAGGATGGAGCGGATCTTTTTCGGGGCAGTATCCTTCTAAGCTTTCTCCAACGCTTTTCGAAGGTTCTTAGATAGCGCCTCAGACTGAAAATTACCACTATAATTCAGTGATCTAAAAACCACGCCTATGATATCATCGAGTCAATGACTGCCCCGCGCTTTTGGTAGGGCAAATCAAGTTCTACCAGACGGCTTTTGAATATTTGCAAAAAGTATGATCCACGTAAAGTTTGAAGACAAATTTCAAGAGTTTATCCAAAAATTACTTCTCCGTCGAAAACTCTATAGAATGCTCGCGAATACGCTTTCCCCATCAGCATTTCAATATGCAAATACGTTTTCAACGGCCAGACAAGATCTGAACAAAAATACAAAAAGTAATACAAGTTTATTCGGGTTTTTATGCTGAAGTATATGTTTCCACATAATGAGAACATTTATCATTTCCAGCAGAACAGTCCGTGTATGTTCCTACAAGATTCTGTAATACGCTTCGAAGGCACTATTCAAAACCGGCGATATTGGCTCTCAAAAATCCCGCCTTCTATTATTTTTTTCCAGATTTTCATGCTTTATCTAGCTTTATTATTGGTGCTACATGTATGTAGATGTGATGACTCGCTCCCCGTTTATGTAAACGGTGTGAAACCAGAACTCAGTTATAATGGGGAGAAACTGAAATTTGGTATGGGAGCGGTCAAGGACTCATATGGTGCGGCTCCATTCCTTCAAGTATGATAACGGATATTCTCATTCTTCACACCTAGGGCACTTTTTAGATTCCTGTCGGAGATGGATCACAGCTTCGAGTACCAAAAGCATTCTATCATTATACAGAAAGAGATCTAGGAGCAGATGCGGGGTGGGGTGTACCTAGTGATGGCAGGCTTATGGCACTTAACACCCTAGTGAAGAATAATCGAAAGGAAATTAATGGCGTCTACCTACCTTTCCCGAATATGGATCCAATCAATCTACATTTCATTTCACAAAAGTGAGTTTTTTTCTCACAATGAAGGCATCTAATTGTAAGCTCTAAAAAATAACATGATGTAGAACTTTCGAAAAAGGGATCGACACTTCTGCACAAGACGGAACTCCTAATGGTGCGTTGGAAGCAGCGAAAAGGTAAGCAAAATGTTGCAATTCTTCATAATCTAGTAGCTTTATCTAGTAGCTGACAACTGATATAATATCACTGCGCTGACAGCACTTGCGCGTAAAAGTGGAAAGAGACATTTTTGGGGTTTTATTGTGAAGTGATAATTTCTTTACTGTTAGTGGCAACACAGGAACTAAATCGCTGTCAGTAAATTTTTGAAAAGCATTCATTCGAGTCCTTTTTTTTGTAAATCGCACCAAAACAGGATCTGCCGGTTCTCTTCCGAAGTTGAATGCGAGGAAGCGCTACTGCATTACCACAGAACAAAAGCTAATGCCCTTCGACAACAAAGCAAACCCCTGCATCAACAACTTCTCAACTTGGTGAGCTGACCGAAAACGTTTGTACATCTCGATGATATTTCGTTCAGAGCGATTTGACCTCTTATTCGACACTGCGCGATCGGGAAGGCGGAGGATTGGGAGTTGTAGTTGGAGTCCCTGGTTACGATCCTTTGTACGTAGGTGCAGCACTGGATGCAAACAAAGATGCTAAACTAGGACTTCGGTTTTCACCGCCTGAATGATGTCGGACAGATTTTGTAGTACATTCTCCCTAATAATGTAATTACGCCAAAGATGCTAGAACTAATAAATATGTATTTGCTTCACACATAATCAAAACAGCTCCTAACAAAAATTCACAGCTAAAAATTCACGTTACTCTTCTCCTAGATGCGTGATTTTGTTCGTTCCAGTTGAGCAAGGAAACGTTCTATTACGGCACAGTACTCGTCTGGGTATTTCTTGAGGTGTTCGACGTGATTTGAATCTTTTAGGTGCAGCACATCCACTTGCTTACCTTTTTCGGCAACAGCCTCATGAAATTGTGTCAGTGATCTGCAAAGAAAACTCGCAATGGTGAATATAAGAGTTTGAACATTTGAGCACTAATGGACCGAGTGGGAGGGGCCGCGCAAGTCGCGAAAATTTTCAAAGTGCCCCCTTGAGTCGAAAACATGTGAAAGTGGCTTTCTCTTAATTTTGTGCTTGAAATAACGTTAGGAATTTTTAAAAATCAAATCAGCCGTGTACAAAAAATTGGGAACGTGGCCACAACGACATGAGTTGAAAAGTGGAAGTAATCTATTTTTGCTTTCACATTCACAACTGATAACTTCAAAAAAACTTTTCAACAAACCTCGTAAAAAATTTTCCTCGGTGATGTGGCCACAATGTTCCTCCCCAAATTTCAGAGGTACAGGCCCGCGTATTTGGAAAGAATCTCGATTTTTAAAAGGCGCGCCTAACGCCTCCGCTCCCAAAAAATCATGTGCTACTACTGAGTGGTGTTTAAGGGTTAGAGCCTCCTTGACTTTTTGACCACGGGTAATCAAAGTGAACTGTCATTATGACATTGCGGAAAACGATCTTGCAAGTGCGTATGATTAGTAAGATTTTCCATAAAAGTGACCACTTTCAAATATGAACAAATATCAGTAAATAAACTTCAAAGAAATTGTAAAAAAATATGAATGGGGAGATCGTGAGATCAAAGGCAACATGTCATCAAATCGACATCAAGATCTCAAGATTCTAATCGGACCGAAGGGTGAAGGGAGGGGGGTGGAAGGTGCGGGCAATGGCGAGGATGGGTTCGTTGAATTTTAATGTAGCCCACATAAGTTATAGGCTTGACGAAATTCTGCTACATGACGAAAGCGCAATATGTTTGAGCGCGAACGCGGCTTTATTAGCCGCAGAGCGCATGAGATGCAGAATTTACAACGGGGTGATACGTGCGCGTCGCATTCGCGCCCGCTTAACTAATACTGCTTCTGCGCTTTCGTCATGCAGTAGCCTTCATAAACTTGTGCAAGTGACTTTTTTCAAATTACAACTATTACTATTCAAAAGCTCTTGAGAGCTGAAAGTAGCTTGGTAAAAAAGTTTGGGGATTCTTGTCACCTGCCTGAAAAATACTGAGTGCTTGCTACGTAGCGTTTTATCTAAAACTGCAAACCCATTCAAGATATAGATACACTTACTCTGGAGGACAAATTCTGTCTTTGTCGGAATAAATGAAGGAGAGATGATGTGGCAGTTGTGGGTGATCACGAAGAAAATGATAAGGAGTAAACTCTGTCAAGCTCAGGCCAAGTTGTCTTCGGACTCCTTGCTGCAAAGACATAATGATTACATAAATCGTGATATAAGAGTTATTACCTCGAGAAGAAAGAAGCGAATCCCCATGGTAAAGTATGCTCTCCAGACCGCAAATTTCAATTTTTCCCAAAGGGATGCGTTCTGTACTGTTCTTGCAAGAACGTTGGCTAAGGTGGCAAAGCTTCGTGGGCTACTCGCGTCGAAAAGTACTGGACAGCTGCAAACTCAATGATATTTTCTACGCAAAAGAAAAAAGTCACTTTTCTCGTGACTACTAGCACGCAAAATGAATGATTGCTTCATTGCGAAGCAGTTTTGTTGGTTATTCTTCCCGAAGTCAGTAATTGGTAGTATATTTTTTGCACTTCTAGAGACGATATTCATCTCGATTAGCAGTGAGTGGCCTGAACTGTTTCTGAGCTCTACTACAAACGATAAGCTCCTATCGAATGTAAAAAAGGTATTATACTTATGGCCTTTGGTTGGGGTATCTATTAGAGATTTCGATCATCGTCTTCATGAATCTACTTTAGAATAATGACTTGCAACCAGAAGGACAATTTTTGTGTAAAACAAGTTACTTTTTGAGATAAGTTCCTATTCCGGAAGTCATGAAATGAACACTTTATCATACCCCTTTCAAAAGGCTATCTATCCGATATATAAGTTTGACCATCGTCTGTTCCGGGTGCACAGAGACAGAAAATTTTAGTTGCGATTGTTTGTCAGTACGCAGTAATCGCATTTTATAATATTGTAAGATTGCAAAAAGCACCTAATACTCAAACTCTTTGACTTAAAAATCAGACCTCTTGAAGAGGTTAGGGTAAGTCTCAATTCATCAATTTATATTTGCTGCCATTCCACGAATTTGAGAAGCAGAAACCAAAAACATGTCATTTTTCCATAAACTTTGTTTTCAACAATAAAATTATGATAAGACTTTGCGACTATTCGAAGGTGTAACAACCTCTTACCATCAGTATCATAAGGAAATCGCTGTCGTATACCTAGAGTAATCTTTGATTTACTTCAAAGCAGTATCGCGTTTTCATTGACATTTTTTTTTGAATGAAGAAGGAGATATTCAGAATCACAGAATCTTTTTTGGAGCGAGTTTTGGCCCTCCATGAATTAGAAGATTCAAAGGTTTTTTTTTGTTATTCATAATGTTTAACAACAACCGCTAAGAGGTGCTTCCCTCAATAACCTGTAATTTTATGCTGAACTTAGCCCAGTAGAAGTCAGCACAGTACTTTGGAACTGCGAAAATGCAGCAGAGATTTTTACCGTCCCTTCAGTATGTATTTTGAACAACCGGTAGATTACCTATCAAAGATGATTCCATCTGTCCTCCCCAAAATATCCAACTCTGGATACTGAAGTAGCAGGGAGCACAACGTATAAATACCATTCATGCTAAATACGTGTAAAGCCAAGCGATCTTTAGGAGATGCCAGCACAGATCTCAAGTTGTCCATAAGTCCGGAGATGTCTCGGGAGTACTAGAAAGGCATTTTTAAGTGTTTCATGGAGAGACGAGGAGTAATGACCTTCAAGTTCCTAGTGTGGCCTGTGAAAGCACTCGTGAAGCGTAATGTCGTTAACCTAGAACACATTTTTAAAAGGAGAAAAGGAAGATGCAGATCCACTAACCCCATTTTCTCATAGATTTGTGCATATTTTGTTAGGTGATAGTCGCGTGCCATAGCCCAACCCAGTAGTAATACGGTAGTCCGTTGAGAAACCTTTGTGAACTTCCCATAAGGTTGTGCAACTCGCACCAGCATGCTGCTTGCCGTCTTCGGGAGCCCCATGATGCCTTTAGCTCTGCAACTTCTACGTTATGCAGTAATCACCTATAGACAATCGTGTGCTCGTTATGAGCGATAATCCTATAGCGAATTTGAGGGAAAATATGGGTTTACATAATCAGCGATAGAGTTCGTTGAACTCAAATTGATGATCACATGTGTGCGCACGATTCGCTAATTTTAAAAGTTGTTTGAAATGGAAAGTTCTAGGATAATAAGCGCAAGGTTGAAATTTTTAGCAGACACATACGTAGCCTCCTCAAATTTTCTTATCTATAACTTACGTCTGCAACAAAGATAAGAAAGCGTTCGAACGCATGCACTACATCAAAACTTAGTCTCATAAACATCCGAAGAGCACCTTTGAAACTTTTATCAATCCCTTAGAAAAATGCTATCACGTTGGATAAGCAATTTGAATGCTGAATTCATTTTCACTCACTCAAAACCTCGGTTTCTTCCAGCTTTAGCATCGCCCCGCCTTTCGAGTTATCCCATCATCTACGTCCGTGAAAGATGCGATATGCTCAGAACTTTGCCTAGGGGACTTCAAAAGCAGCGTACGCAGACTGGGAAGTACCTGGCTCTGGTAGTAATGGCAATAGTAGACCCCCTAACTAAGCGACGACAGAAGTTTGCAGGCGAAAGGGGTATACGCAGTCTACAAACCCCCTCCAAGTGGCCCGTTCAGTAGGCTCGGGCGAGTACGAAATGCATGCAATTCGAATAAAATTTCGAATAAGTTGTTTTTTCGATTCATTGACTAAACAAATATTCGAATGAAAGTGTTTTTTATTTGTTCGCCTATTCGAATAATCAGATTAGTGCACTTTCCTGAATATTCGACTTCTCTGGTCCGCATAAATCATTCGAATACGAATATTCGAAAAATATTAGGTTGGTGCAAAAGTTTCGTCAGTTTTTTCAATCCATCGGCAAGCACACTAAAATGAAGATAAACAAACACTTCAAAATGTATCCGATGCAGAATTTCTTCCTCTTTCCAGCAGCTGAACTCCCATTGTGTTTCGTTGTGAGAGTAACGAAATATTTGCTGCAAATTACCACTCGTTTTTACCATGTCCAACTTTCGCTAATTTTCAAAATTTTTGTATGAGACTTTCGAAGAAGCCCTAATAACCAACAGATAGGGCAAACCTTTTGCCAACAGAAGCAATTTTTTTCTTTTTTTCAGCTGCTTTTTCAGATTTTTGCTAAATAATTTTCTAAAAGTCTTGTGTTGTGGGATAATCGCATAACCTGTTATTGCACCAAACACTGCAAAACCTATGAATACTAAGGTTTCAACACTCGATTATTACTACCGCTACCATTACAAAGTGAATGAGCGATTTTCGCTTCAAATTATGAAGGTTTCGAAACATAGGTTACGTCAGTGCGCACACGCCGAAATTGAGAGATACTGCGATCTTCCCCACATTTTTGCTTGTCTCGACAAAAAAGACAAGTGTTAGAAAGAGGAGAAAAATCTGCATTGAATGGTGACTGAGATGTTTAATATTTCACGTTCTACGAGGTTAAAATAGGCTGAATGTAAAATTTGGTCACTTCAAAAAATAAATCGTAGAAATTCTAAAAGACAAGCTGTAGGGCTACAAAAAATTGCTTCTGTTGGTAAAAGGTTTGTTCTATCTGCTGGTTATAAAGGCTCCTTCCAAAGTCTCATACAAAAATTTTGAAAATTAGCGAAAGTTGGACATGGTAAAAACGAGTGGTTGTAATTTCCAGCAAATATCTCGTCAATCTTGGAACAGAACCCAATGAGAGTTCTGCTGTTTGGAAAGAGGAAAAAATTCTGCATCGAATACATTTTGAAGACTTTGTTTATCTTCATTCTAGCGTAATTGCCGATGGATTGAAAAAACTGACAAAACTTTTGCACCGACCTAATGCTTCGGTTCTAACTATTAGACCCCATCTTTGCCGGGACGCTGCCCTTAAGGCTGTAGACACAATCTGGAAATTTATATGGGAGATTCCCTTTACGTTCATTTGCTTTAAGGATTCCCTTATTCTATTCAATTCCGACACTGATTGGCTCGTACATTCGGCGCAACCGCTTGCATCGCGAGCGCCGATTTCAAGCCAACTTCTCAATCTGATTGGGACAGACTGTATTCAAATTACAGCCTAGTGGCTTTCCTGTGTGCAGTTGCACATTTCCAGTATGATTTGGTGAGGATGTTTCTTTTCGTGTTTTCTGGTGCTCTTTGTTGATATGGCGCAATTGTAGAAAGCTTGTGATGATATTCCGTGCATTTTACCTGAGAGGCCTGCGCTGACAACTTTAGCGTTCTTGGAATTATGTGACTACAGCCCCCTTTTTCTAAAATTTCGAGGCTATGGGCCCGTAAAAACTTTGTGAACATTCCCAAAGATTTTTCGGAGTGCGTAGCTATTGCCACGCACCCCCATTCAAAAAAAAATCTGCCACGCTTCTTCCTCGAAAAAAACCTGCATCAAGACCTGGTTTGCTCCCCACAAACGTGATAGATCCAAGGTACGTCATAGTCTCATAAAAGTGTAAACAAGATTCAGCTACGATAACTGTCTTCTATGCACGATAAATGGAATGTAGAAGCATTCATTGTATAGCTCTAGGAACAATGGGCATAAAAACTTGACATATTGGAACGTATGATGTAAATTATGTACTTACAAAGACAGACAGAAGGCAGCTTAATTGTCTTCAGATGTGACTGAATCTTATAGCACGAGTAACTAACAAAAGAGGGAACACAGACAGGAAATGAACAAGAGCATTGGCGTGAAATCTTTGAGCTGGTGAAAATCGCACCTCAAGGGCATATTTTGTGCATCCTATTGGTTCGCCCGTATGAATCGTAATTTCCATAAACCAGATCTATTTTTTGTTATACGCTGAACTCGCCAGCAAATAGCACATGCACAATCTAGAAGAGAAGTTTGTCCAATGACTAGCGCATAAGTAGTCTCAAAATTCGCATATGCGACTTCACGAAGATAAACTATCGAATCCCGTGTTACATTCAGATGGAGGAGTTAGAAGGTGTTTTGCAGGGGCGCTCTTGACATGAGTACTTAGCTTACCAAAGATAAGACAGATTAGAACTCCTATAGGACGGGGAAAACCGGATGCATGTCTTAGGCACTGCGCCTAAAAATTATTTACTGAAAGCGTAAGTTTAGATCTAAAAGATTCGGAAGGAACTTGCTGAGGTAATCCTTTGTACTAACCTACATATTTGGTTGACAACGAAGTAACCATAACCTAGAAGAAAGCAGTTTCAACTAGTGATTGAGCAATGGTAATGGAATACAAATATACGACAAGGGAAACGATAGGGGAGACCACTATGATCATCTTTTCTGAGGCACGTACTGTACAGACTAGAGAGTGAACATGCGTACTATGTAAAATGGTCACGAAGGGACACTTTCCACTTTCTGCAGCAGCTTCAAACAGGCGGCACGGTACTCGTTTGGATATTTCCGGAAGTGCTGAACATGCTCCGAACCTTCGAAAACTACTTCGTCAACGTCTTTACCAAGTTCTCGTTGATGCTCCAGAAAACGCCGTACTAATCTGAGTGCAAAAAGTATTGGAAATTTGAAAAAGAACTAGAACTAAACTTACTCATGTTTTATGAGCTTGTCCTCTCGTGAATACAGGTAAAGTTGTGGTTTTGGCAAATCCATATTCTCTTCTAAGTAATAATACATCGAGAGCTGTGAACGAATCGGAGAGTAAAGTGCGGAAACCGAGTGAGCCTAAGCATTCAGCCATAGCTCATAAACTGTAGGAAAGAGCAACCTACAATTCCTTTTCTCAAGTGAAATGCCACTTTTATGAATTTCCGTCTGGTCTCCTTATCCAACCATCGTAGTCCCTCGATTACAGGGGTTGAGTTAACAACAGCATGTGAATCCGGGCCTGCAGATGTTCGTGCTGGTGCACTGAAATGCACCTCATTGAACATAACAGCATGCAAGTGAGAGAGAAACAGACCTGTCGAATATGACACCTTTAATCCTTTGACGAAGATATGTAACCTGTTCTGCTTCTGTCCACTTCCACAATGAAATCAGCGAACGAACACCATTCATCGAAAACACATGGCATACCAGAGGGCTAAAGAAGAAACTCGCTGATAAAGGCCACGATGGGACAATCAAAGAAGACTAAAGACTTGTATGGAAACCCCACAAGCGTGAAAATAAAGTTACGGCCGGCCAAAACAATAAACAACTACTCAAAATAATTCCTGATCATCATTAACAAGCAAGCTTTTCAATTTGAAAAGCGTGCAGAAAAAGATAATCAAAGCATCAGAAAGAAGATAGAGCGATAATTCGATAGTAGTATAAAAGAATGATAAGCATATCATATTCACTAATTACATTGCAGCAATGACCATGAGAAGACTAAAACTGCTCAAACATCGATGATGTATCGATAATACGATGGGAAAAGTTCTATATAGCAAGGCCCATGAGATCATGTAAACTTTTCAAAGTATGCCAAATTAGACGAGCACGGATTAAATGACTCAAAGATAACTCATAGTTCGTATAGATGCTGCTTACCAATGTCTGAAGCTCTCGAAGTTCCCTGGTTTGGCATCGATACCACGAAGAACAGGAGAGAGATAGAAACCATTTCGAGCATTTGGTATAGTATAATGGTAGCAAGGAGCAATAAAGGAAATCGTACGATATCTGAAATAAAATCTTTTTCAAAACTAGCTAGCTCCGCTAATCCTAGAAGATGATTTACTTCTCGATCACATTTCCTGACACTAATATGCATACTTTTTGCTCAATATAATGTAACTCAGATCAGTAACCGAAGTAATTATCAACAACCAACCCGTTTTCGTTATAGATTTTGCTATACTTTGCTAAATATTCGTGCTGCGCTCCTGCCCATCCAAGCAATAAAATAGCAGGTTTTCGATGATCAACAGGAAGGGTTTTTTCTGAAAGCCAAATCATATCAAGAATCATGTAAAATTATGTGGAATACATACCGTCTGCCCCTAGAGGTAGCCTCACGATGAGAGGAGGTTCGCAAACATGCCGCGAGAATATGCTCCTCGTTTGTTTGAACCCCCAAAAAAGCATACAGCTGCTCTTCGTTAACATATATCTAATGGGATGAAAGATCAACGGAGCGTTCAAACAACAAGTCCACGGAAAATGTAAAAAGCCAACAAAAATCACTTAAAAAAAGCAGAAGCTAAACTGAACCAGACTTTTTGTGTGCCCTTTCTATCACATAACCTTTTTCTTATTAGTGCACTTCTACCACGAGATCCCCCATTGAATCGCTCTAACTCACAAATAAAATCATCAGTAATACGCACTCGAAAAAATCTTATAATGCAATGCTCATCGTAACCTCGTAACCTCAAATATGGGATAAAAAGATACGCTGCAACTAGTCCGAGTTTCTCAAAGAAGGTATGAAACTAAGCAACTCGAAGTCACACGACCAAACCCTCTCAACATCGTTCCTGAGCGAGGATTTTTATATCCCTGGGAATAGTATGTAAGCAGCAGTGGCAATCTCAACCATATTTTACGCAGGACGCATAGGTTATGATGCATCGCAAGACTCCTCGCAACCCCACTCTAAGTGTTTACCTTTGCTGTAATTGCGTCATCGTGACGTATGCTTACAGTGGGCCAAATATTACGTGTTCACAAAGATCAAAACTCCAGAAGTACGATTGCAACTAAATATGCGGTTTCAAAGTAACACGAAACGAACAAAAAGTTTTTATTTAATGTAATCAGTAAACACAACCCGCCATAATGAGAAATATGAATGAGAAAAGGCAAAAATGCTATGAGAAAAAAGTCTACATGCAATAAAACATAACGCAAGGCAGTCAAATATGTAGGTAGATTATCATGACTAACATGCACGACAACAGAACACCTTTCTTAGTCGTCGATGTAAATAGTTTCTATCTCGGTAGTCGATAATCCCGCACTGTTGCCGACCTTGTCAAGACGAGGGCGCTTTGAACGCGAGATGTTGTTCTGGTCTGAAATCGCTGCTTAGTCAATGAATGGAATTTGACACATGGTACATGAAAAAATTTTTTTTTAGCAGATCTCATTGAAGACTATATGGGGTGTGGTGCGGAAGGCGACAATCCCCAATTTTGTGCCTATCAAAAACTCTCCGGTGTCAAAGTGACACCCTGGGGGACTACGGGGGTGGGGGGTGGGGGCAGATACATTACTCAATGCCACAAGTAGAAATCTGTGAAAGTCATTGAGACGGATGATACACAGCCTCCATTTTTCGCCGATTGTCGCCTTCCGCGTGCCCCCCAACTATATGTAGACCACACCACTCGATGAATGACAGGATCTCCTTAGAAACGCTTTAACAGCTATCGATATTAACCTCTAATCCCATTCGATATGATTGAGGTCACTTCGCTACGTAGACAAGAAAATCGAAAAAAAATTCCATATATCAAGCCCTCGACACATCAATCTATGTACACTGACACACAACCATAACAGTCAGAAAAAAAAGACATTTGACCTCTCGCACCGAGTTACTTTTTGTGCAGTTATATCGTCTTGGCAAGTGCACTGAATAGCATCTCAACTTTTTTAGCTGACTTGGAATAGTTCGCTGCAAAATAGATAGAGATGTTAGTATTATTTACATATTCTTTTCATCACCAGTGTACGTTTATAAGTGTTTGGTAGGACGTACAAGAAGTTTCGAAAAATCGTTGGAAAAACTGTGGCCTCATTCAAACTATGTCAAAGATTTTGGAAATGAGAGATAATGGATAATTCGATATTGCAGTTACTAATGGATATCACCACGATGGTATCCTTCAATGAAATCAAACGCTGCATTAGATCTATCACCAAATTAATCATACCTGCTGAACCTTTAAAGACTCCAAGACATTCTATCTCATCGTCATCATTGCAACACTCATTCGTATTTATCTCGCGCTTTGGACATTTTTTCTCTTCCACCTCCTCCAAGTTATTCTCAAGCACTGTCACAGTCACTTGCTGCTCCTTAATGTCATGCAGCCACTCCGAAACGCGCTTAATTACCTAAACCTAATTGTTTATGACAAAGATATGATTATTTGCGCAGTTACATTGAATACCTATTGTTTCACCGGAAAGACTTACATCTTTGTCACATGCGCTGTCATTCACCGCAGTCTGGCTGGGTTGACTGAGATTAAGCGTTACAGTCAACCGTTCCTCCTAAGCAAGACACATTCAAATTCCTCTCTTCTGTTAACTGACAAACCATAGGTATTGCACTGGAGACACTCGCATACGACTCTGGGTTCTCGTAACAGATATCTGACTCGAACGTGGAACTCTCGCCATTTGCAACTACTTGCGGGCTAGCTAGGGAAGTAAAGTTCAGAATCCGACAATCGAACAGAAGTTCATTTGACTGAAAGTGAATGTCTGACCTAACCTCGACGATCGTAATGTCGTCGTAGAACAGGAAAGCTGTAAAATACAGTAAGAAGTCTTACCTTCAAGAACCTCGGCAAGCGTGTTGTGATTGGGAGAGAAGAGCGCTGTAGCCTAAAAAGTAAAGATAAGGATCTGCATCGAAAGGACGATCTGCCATTTTTTGCAAAGTCAACTGAAATTTCTGTGTCGCTGACCAGCACGAGCGCTCAAAAGGCAACTTGGCCCGCCTAACGAGATTGCAATTTTAACTGAATAGATTTTACCTGACTTCATTAATTCGTTAATTCATAACGGTGTAGCAACTTGAACGAATTATTGGCATATAAGATTGAATGTAAGTTCATGTCCAAAATTTGGATTGCGTATGTCCACTAAGTAACCCTGACCAGAGAACACTGAAAACGGATTGCGAGGTGCACGCGCCAATTTCTCCGCTATGTTCAAATTCGACAAATCTATTCTTTCGGTGTAAAGGCCTTTCAAAATGCATTCCCCACAAGTGGGTGGAAGAGCAAAAACCATTAGGCACCGCCTACGCGAACTGCTGGTCCTACGATGCTCAACCTAGGACAAAGGGACCAGCAGCCCGTGGAGGCGGTGCCTGATTGAGGTGTTCGTTCGGCACGCGCCATACTTGACCGCTTGATCGGTCCGTCATTGGTCAGTTCAGTGAACTGATCAATAGGGAAGCAGTTGTCCACCTGATCCTCTTGATCCACTTCATCCACATGTTGGTCAGTTCACTGAATTGACCAATGACGAAGCGGATCAAAGGACCAAGTGGATTAAACGGATCAAGTACAGCGCATGCCTTCTTCTACCGCTACGTCGCTTTGAACAAAAATGTGCGGGGCTTCTGGAAACCTTGGGCCCGAAAGGCTTGTTGTAAGCGACAATGAGCGCGCACTTCTTCTACACATAACTTTATAAGCTTTCGAAAGACTTTTGAGTCAGATAAAGGCTATGCATGAAGAAGGAGCAGGAGCAGTACTAGTTGAGCGGGAGCGAACGCGACGCGTATCCTCAACGTTATAGATCGTCGCCTCATGCGCTCTGCGGCTAATAAAGCCCAAAGATATTGCGCCTTCGTCATGCAGCAGCCTATACTTACACAATTGAAAAACGACGAAGTTGCCCAAATCTCTTCAAAGATAGTGAAAACCTACAGTCGTTTGCGGCAACTGCTCGCTTACGCCGGTGCACAAGGCTTACAGGCCGCCTATAGGTCAAAGTGCCTACAGCCCATGGCACGAGATTGCACGCTATGTCCCACTATGAACTCGATCGCTGTCACGTCTTCGTTCTCGGCAATAAAAAGGCGTTATTTTAAAAACAGGCGGAAATATTTCAGAACGTCAAAAGCTCAAGATTCGCGTAACCTCGAGATCGAAAACCTAGAACCTTCGCAGTAGGCTTACCTTAGACCAGCCTCGCATCAAGCTGCCGCGATCTCTTGATTATTGAATTAAAATAAGCATTTCTGTTTCACCAGTGCGATACATGTAATGGTTGATAAGATTTCGGTTTTCTGTCGGGTCATTCTCAACAGATCAAAAACAGTGAAAACACCTAGAGACCACCGCAAAAAACATAGCCTACGATTTCCACCATGTTTAAAGGCCTGCGAAGTTTGACGCTGATCAAAAAAATACTTCGCAAGTCTCAATGCTAGTGTCCATAACATATCATGACAAAGCTGCCACAAAAGATCTGCTTCGAAAAAAGCATAAACCTCCATTGCAGAATATCGAGAAGCACAGAAAGAAAGATTTGGAAAACTAGCGCGGCAACTTGTAATAATCTTCAGATTTGACCCACTCAGTGATCAACATTATGACAATTAGCCTCCCCCAGCGCGTAGAGGAGCCAATTGAATCCGGTGAATATGCTGAAAAACTAACTTACATGCAACAGCCGCATCGTATTGGTAGCAGTTGGCGCACCCAGGATTTCCGTTCGGGGGGGGGGGACAAAAAAATTCTTCGGGTAAAGGTGCGGCGTCAGCCACGCAGTCATTTTTCGGGATGCTTCTCGAAATTTTTGCGGGCCCCTGACTCCGAAATTTCAAAAAATAAACATGACGGCAACCACGCCCCGAAAAAAAATTTTACAAGGCTAATTTGAATTTTTAAAAATTTTTTGAAAATTATTTTAATTATTTCAATTAAAAAAGTAGCTTGCACATTTTTGAATGGATGAGTAATTATGATGAAATTGACCTTATTATCACTGTCATGATCTTGATCCAATTGATGATCATCTTCATCAACTACGTCTTTGTCACTCCCATCATCCTCTTCCTCCGATAGCTGCTCATCCACATTTGTCAAATCCCTATCACTTCCAGAATCCTCATCCAACAGCAAATCAACTTCTTCATCTGGGACATCCTTCGATGGATTATCCAACTCCAGTCTCCCAGCAGTTTGTAGTTCCTAAAGCACCATAATAGAAACTATAACTATAATAAAAACAGAGATGTAAACATGAAAAAATGTAGACTAAGACGAGAATATGAAAATGTACCATACGAAAAACTTCATCTGGTAGAACATCGCCCTCTGTTGACGATAGTTCCTTCATAGGTGAGCTGAGTTCAGGAAGTTTGCGAACTGTCGGACGATCTTAAAATCGTAATCAACAATATATGAGCATTGCACGGACAAAAACAACATGATCACCATCTTCGGGTACATACAGATCCACATTTTCTAAGAACTGGCTGCTGATGAAGTTCTGATGAGTTCGTATAGTTACAAAAGCAATGTTGTCCAGATGGTCGACTAAAATCAAATCAGGTAAATCTCGATAAATAATCTTCGAACTATATAACACCCGTGAATGATATTCGGTTTCTACGTTTACTCTAAGGCACGAGGCACCGTCCACCCAGATTTTCGACTTCCACGTTCTTGTCCTTCAGGGCCTTCTCATGTCCCTGATTCCGAATGTGAAGTCAAGAATGCTCGAAAACCCGGCAATCCCAGTTCCGGAAAGTTGATTGGATGGAAGCGCATAAATGGGCGGGCATGGAGGTGGTCCTCGTGCATCTTCGCTATTCCAAAGCGATTTTCACGCTTCCGAAGCGGCATTTTGCGCCGCGACTTGGATACTAGATTGAAAGGGGGCCCCACTATTATATGCGGCCAAAAGCTCGACACCCTCAACTTAGGGGGCGGACGGTGCCTTTAACCCTTTGCTCCTTTTCATCCACTTCTCCATTGGTCAAATCAGTGAATTGGCCAATAACGAAAGCAGGATATTCCACATAATCCGCTTGAAGGCAGGTCCACCGTAAGTTAGGGGGTCTTGAGCTTTCGGCAGCATACCATAGTGGGACCCCTATCAAGCCAATGCTCATCGCGAAGCAAAATGTCGTCGGAAGCGAGAAATCGCTCCTTAACAACGAATAACGAGTTCCTCCAGTAATGACGCCCACCCGTGCTCGTTTATATAATCGCCGTTCCGGAGAACCTGCTGGGCGGGTTTCCAAATCGGGGATCTTGGGTTTTTCGCGGATTTTCGGCTTCATGTTCGGAATTAGAGATATGAGAAGGCCCCGGAACGACAAAAAACACGGAAGTCAAGAATCCGGGTGGACAAAGCCTTTGATCCACTTCGCCATAGGCCAGTTTGCTGTTTGACCAATAGCGAAGTGGATGAATTGGATCAAGTGGATCAAATATGACGCGTGCCCAAGGTATGATCATATGCGAGAATATCCATTAGAGATAGATTTTATTTGCTTGTCATGCTTAATAAACAGCCTAGTAAGCGGTCAAATTACAAACTACTCATAATTCATAACACTATTTTTTGGCTCGCTTGGTTGTCTCTACATAGCCTCCAGTTCATAGTAACCATTGCAGTAGGATAAGGATAAGCCAAGTATACAACCAAGTACGACAAATTTATAACAGACTAGTTGACTTACCCGGCTCCGCCCGGCCCTGTCATTATTATATTCGTAATCGGCATGCTCGATTACCACCCAGTGCCAACTCCCAGTCCCGTAGCTCAAATTTTGCAAAAAATCGATATCGATCGATGACGGAAAGTAGCCTATGACACCCGCCGGGGTCCGAAGTGTATGTGTGCCAAGTTTGGTCCGGATTGGTTCAGAAATGGAGTTTTCTATTCGGAACATACGTACGTACATACCAGTGGCGTACCCAGGATTTCCGCTCGGGGGGAGGGGGAGGGGGCGGGCGACAAAAATTTTTTTCGAATGAAGGTGCGTGGCGTTAGCCACGCACTCGGAAAAATTTTTAGGGGTGCTTCTCAAAATTTTTGCGGGTCCCCAACCCTAAAATCTGGAAAAAGGGAGCGTGGCGTTAGCCACGCCCCCGAAAAAAATTTTTTTACAAGGCTAATTTGAATTTTTAAAAATTTTTATAAATTATTTTAATTATTTACAAGTATAAACAAGTCATTTGCACATTTTTATAACCCTTATAAGCAACTTCCAAAAATTTCGCGACCCATTCTCGGGGGGGGGGGGCGCGTGCCCCCCCCCCCCTCGGTACGCCACTGGTACATACATACATACATACGATTGTCTCCACTATTCGTGTAGAGGTGCATTGCAGAGTTTGCCTGATAACACAGGTGAACTTGTTAAACCTCCATGTCATAGCATTGTTTTTTGTACTCTCTCGCTGTCAAAAACCGCCACGCTTTAAATTGGCAAAACCCCGCCTCTACACGAATCGTGGAGCCGATGATACATACATACAGACAGACAGACAAACAGACATTTAGCTTTATATATAAGATGAAGCAACAATTTAGATCTTGTTTTGAATCCTCTGATCTCAACATTCTTAATCCTACACTTCCTCCAAATATGGTTCAGCAACGAGATTCATCTGCATTATACAAACAATGCCACTTCAAAGTGCCGTTGCTTAACTTCACTGTCGAACTGCAAGACCTTTACGTGAGGTTTACAGCGTGAAGCTTTCATGTAGAAGTTTCTGAGTGGAGAGGGTTTCCACAACTCTAAGCAAAAGTTGATGCACATCGTTTTTGGTTTTTCATGCATTTTCAAGCATAGAACAGTCAGATCTTCCGCTTACGAAGCTTCTGCCATCGCTGGCACTGGAAATCCGGAATTTAAGCACTTCCATCGGATATGCGGTGGCGCAGACTTCTTTAGCCAGTTATGGGAAGACTGATATGGTGTTACCCCATGATACATATCTACTTTACACAAACACCACGGTCCCAGTGATGTTGCGGCGACCACAAAATCCTGGAGAGCCATGGTTTCAAGCGAAATGCTGATTATGACACTTCAGTTCAAAAGCTCCACTGGTTAGAAAGCAAAGGACGTGATGTCATTCACAGTTCTGCTTGAAACAAAAGAATATAGAACGAATTTCATCGCCCGAGGAACCAAAAAGTAGTGCAGTCGCATTAGAATAGGATGCCTTAAAAGATTGGGTATAGCCGAAGTTGAAGCTAGCTAAAATGGATCTTCATTCAGAAAGAGCAGTATTCGTCGGAACGCCAGACTGACCTGTTAGACCCAGAGCCTTTCTGTTATAAAAAAAAAAGGAGGAATGAAAAAGGGTCTACTCTACTTGGCCTCCGATAAGTGAGCGCGTAATTCTACAATTCGTAGATGTGATATTTCCAATGACGAAGAAATGGGCATGACTTGCATTAGTTATAGATAGTGGCGTACAGGATCTTTATTGGCAAGGAAGTGCGTTGAGAGATGAAAGAAAACCGTGACTTCCAAGCAAAATAAACTCACGAAAAGCATCCAATTCCTTCTCAGGATCAGGGATCCCGGACGAAGGACCGCATTCAGTTCGAAGCTCACACATAAGGTCGCGTAATTCATCAAAGGAAGGCGTTCTAAACCACTTTTGACAAGAATGTGACGATCCTTATAGAATGAAGACTCACACAATTTTCTCCTTGTTCGCAATCTTCTTATTCATTAAGTCAGTGATTCTCTTGTTCAGAAGCTCGTTTCCAGTATCCGCAACCGTTATGCTCGGAGCATGAGCAGCGTCATGGCTAAATCAAGGCAAAAAGATAATGATAATTTTGGGATCAAGGGACCACGCTAATACAGAAGAGGTAAAAAATACTGACAGTGCCCGAACTTCCTCATCAACATCCAACAATGCTCCATGTTTCAGTAATGTCCTTTCCACGTCCACGAGAGTCTTTTTCAACTACAATATCTTCTACTGAGATTTTTCAATTGCGCATTAATATATTTATACTGTTTTAGCGCAGTTGACTAGCTCAATAGAAACTGCAGAAACACGAAAAGCTACCTTTCGTTCATGGTTGATATAAAACAGCTCTTTTGCCTCATCATCAAAGCAAACTTCTCGCACCTCCAATTTGCGCAGTTGTTTCAAAAGTTTCTGAAATTTGGCCACTATATTTATATCAAATGTTACTTCACGGACCTGTCGCATTTTTATCAGACTATGTAGTTTTGGTATTGAGAGGCATTTAGACGACGATGTGGGCTGCTGATCCACGACATTCGACGAGTTTTCGTCATGTTTGGAGTGCACACTCAATACTTCCACTGTGTCGTCATCGCCTGAATGCAGATCCATGCTATGAAACAACTGCACTTGCATGTTGCAAAAATTGTGCACGTTTCCACTACCTGCCGCGGAAAGTGCACATTGCATACCAGCGGGTGAGCTGTTGGCATAATCACCGCTTGTATCAGGTTCCATTTCCTACAAACAATCAGTGTATGACATTCAATAAAGGAGAAGAAGGCAGATATCACTTGCATGGGGTAGAAGGAAACGTAACAAATGATACTGCAGTAAGTTGAGCTATTCCACGTACAGATCTGGAGAAAAGACAAAGAACCGCAAACGATAAGCTTCTGAAGAAAAACGCTTTACAGCCCCTTTACAGACTTTGCAGACATAGGTAGGACTCTAGATTTCACTCAAAACTCGCACTCTTTCACTCAACGCAAGCACTCTTTCACTCAACGCAACTCCCACAATTTTCTCTTTCATAGAGCAAAATCAGACAAGCGCTACAACGTAGTGACAAGACGCTAAAATGGTCAACACACCGCATCTACCAAAATAATACCCGACGCGTTCCTAAAACAAACAAACCACCAAGACGAGACAAAAATCTTGCTCTCTCGTGCAATGTTGCGCCCATGTTTTCATGACGCAGTTTTGCACACTTTTCTGCTGTCTGAAAAATCCTGTATATCTTGCGATTTTCATATTCATCGTACGTAACATCTGTCTAAGTGTCATATATTGATCTTTTCTACTGGTTAAATGCTTCTACATTTCTGCTTATCTCTTGCAAATGCTGCTGAATCATACGCACTTCTCTATCTCTTTGTTGCACAAATGGATCATCATCATCCAAAGGTGGAGAGCCTAACTCTTGCGATCTCATTGTCAGAAACATCAGCATCTTTCAATCCTTTCAAACAGTGCTTTTTTATCGCTTAAGATTCTCGTTTTTCGTCGTTCGTGACATATCCACCTTCAAAGTGCGAGTTTTGTGCCCGAATGTCAGTTCGGTGTTTCGTTATCAACTCAAACTGCAGATAATCAGAAAGTATCTATTTGCAAAGTTCTGAACAGATTCGAGATGGAAGCAATATATGCTTCGCAGATGATGTTGGCTTCCTTATATCTTTATCTTACCTTGGATTGAAAGCTGTTGGATACAAGTTATCTCGCATCGTCCCTGCCCGGGCCAATCGCTTCTTTTTCTTTTGCATACTACATCGACGGCAAACCCATGCCTTTTTGCGCAAGCAGCACATGTGGTAGAATTACCATGAAAACGATCAAAACGTGCTGACCAACCTATCTTATCCTGAACAAATAGTTCTGCACGAGCCATCATTAACAGCCAAAATGTCTTGACCCACTGTTGCATTGCTGGAGCGACCAAAATCATGGTAATGCAAACCAAAGCACCGTCCACCTAAATCTGAGGTTGTTGGGATTTTGACGCAGTGTGGTAGTAGCGACGCCCTCAACTAAGTATTAAACCCCGATGCAAAAGAGGTTACTCGAAGTAAGAATTTGCTGCAGAATGTGGGTGCTGAGGTCGCCACGCCCATCACATCTGTGGTATAAAAGCCTGAAACTACACTAGATATTGCGAAATCTCGGAAATACGTCTCTTATTGCAAAAACCCTTTCCGGAGATAGGTATCCTGGAATTCAGTTTTGTTTTCATTATATTTGGCCGTTCAGGTTGATGGGTGTAAGTCAGGAGGCGATTTTTATTGCCAGATAAAAAATTAGCGCATTCTTAGTGTTTATAGCTCTCTAAAGAACTTTTACATTTCTGAGGATATGCGCAAGATCGTTGCCAGGGCTGTTTAACCTTATATCTTGAACATCACCAATCTCGGATTGGGTAGATGGTGCCTGATATGAATTCCATAATTTTTTAACTAAGAAAGTCAAAAAATTTTATTAATTGACTTCTGATTAAGTAGTGTTCTTTGATTATTTATGAGACATTTGAAATCACCATCAGTTTCACTTTTGAGTAATAACTCTCTCCTCTCTTCCCTCTTTTCTCTTTTTCTTTCGACATATTATCTACTTCAATTTTCTAAATGAGAGCAGCATTCAGAACATGGATTTATCAAATCGGCTTCAAGATAATATTCAAGGACTCGATCCCTCAAGTTGCTCTTGTTGTTTTGCCTTGAAAAAACAGAATGAATACAACATTCTCTGAAAAGGTGATGAATACAACGTTCTCTTCCTTGGGATTCTGATCTGTGGAAAATGCAGTCGCAAAACTGTCAACACAACACATCCTCAAGTATAGGCGATTCATAGCACGCAAAGACTGCGGACATATCGGCGTCTCCGTGAGTGAGCGCTCTTTCGTTCCTCTTACGGTCTGCTGTCTCTCCCATGCGCAGACTATCTTCGTCGGACGCACCGGCGCTCAGTCTTTGCGTGGCATGAATCGACGATACAATCAGGAACACTGGTAACTTCTTGTTGGCAGAGAGATTCGAAAACAAAAATGTTGTACTTCTTACGAGTTTTTCAAGCTCTTTTCATGGGAACTTTTTCTCTGTCGATACATACTCTGCAGGGAAACGTTTTTTTTCGCTGACGGGACAATGAACTACTCCATCGACTAATGAAGTGACTGAATATTGGAGTCAGTGATATCTGGAAATGCAGATTCCGATTAAGATTTGTTAGATCATACGCCTTTGACTATTTTATCGAGTGGTTCGAAATATTCGTTTTGGTCCAAAAGTTGCACACATTAGAATTTGGCCCTGGGAGCAGTGATCGTCATTTTTTCCCCGCAGCAGGAGAGCAACTGAAGTTTCTGTAAGAAGAATAGAGGTCTAAAAATTTTTACGACGCACTAACTCCAATATTTTGCAGATAGGGGCGTGCCCTCAGTAAGAGTTTGAGAAATTTGACGATTAAGCTGTTAATTTGTGATTTTAAACTGTAGACTGAACATAAGAGCAGTTTATCTATTTTATACTCATTGAAATTATTTCTAACGGGTGAAAGATTAGAAGGTTGTGTTGCCGCTGGATATAAAAGTGTTTTGGAGCTATAGCAGCTGCAATGTTGATCATGCTGAATGAATGGCTGGTTGTGAGAACTTATGCTGTAATTTGATAATTTTTTTTCTCACTTTTTTCCTCTATACAGCCGGTTCCTTTGACCATGATTTCCTCCCGGTTATGTTTGTTGGAGCTATCTTCACTTCAGTTTCTCACTCTGCCAAAGGGATCATGCGTTTTGCAGAGCATCTGTGAATTGCCTTCATTCTGGTATCCGCCTGACTAAGCTCTTGGACGACCAATTTTGCGGTCATCAACTGAAGCGGAGATGGTGAAAAGAAAATCGTCTCAAAGAGAAGACGATGAGTTAATGCTGAACCGACCAGTAGATGACCGTGAGGAGGAGGTATCATTTTGGGGACTAGAGGATATAAGCGAAATTGCACTTTATATGTGGAAGTTCAGGAATACGACGTTGCTGATCTGTCTGCCATCCCTGCCCCGAAGATCGAATTTGTTATGCCAAATCTTACTCCGTTAGAAGGTGCGAAGAAGCAACCACTGAAGGTGTTTTCAGTGATGATTATTCATTGTATGTTTGCCAGCACTAATCTTTTCGATACAGAAGAAAACTTCGAAGGCGTCAAGTCCACCGTCATCATCATCGGGGGAAAGTTTAACCTCTGAACAGCTCAATATAGAGGTGGGCAAATATGTTTTTTGTATGCTATACAGAAGCAAGTAAGGCTTACAGTTAAAATGACAGTAATAGATATAAATGAGTACACTTTTTCAACGGAGCTCAGGAATACGGCCGTAATCTCCTTACTTGTAAGACTTTTGTCTACCTTTCACCACAGTTCGACAAGTAGTCTTGAAGAGAAAAGTAGGATTGTATAATTTTCTAAGTCTGAGCGCTACTTTTGAGCTTTTCTTCATTTCTAACGAGGTACTCCAAAAGCAGCGCATTGTTGATTTTAGGGTACTTCGTTTTCTATTCTTACTCCGATCGTATTCTCGATTCAGAGAAATTCCACAAAGTCAATTTCAACTAATTTGAGATGTTTCTCAAGTTCTTTTAACAATTTAAGATTGAGGAAAATCAAGAAAGTCTCGCTGATTAATGATTTATGTACATCGACAGACGCGTTATGAAATCAACCTCAATTTTTATTTACAGATTGTTCATTTGCGGCCCACTGTGCAAAAAGCGCAGAGATTTTTGGTTCAGCGACTGGTGAGGAAAATGAAACGTCTGGAAAAACTGTTGGAAGAGAAGGAAACTGATGCTGTGAAACGAAAAGTGGCAAGATACGAAGAAGAAATCCATTTTGTTAAAGTAAGTGCAAGTGACGAGTTTTCCGTTACTATTGATACCAAGCCTCAAACTCTGAGCTTACAACGTAGGCCTTCTGGAAAAAATGATTGAGTTGTTGTCACTAGAACCATCTCTTCTGCAAGATCGGGTCCTACTTCACCTTCATTCCCACCATTGACTATGCGAAAAAATTGTCTTGAATATTCACTTTGGAAGTGGTCTAGTGGGTTATAAAATAGTGCAAAAGACTCATTCCCTTTGTGTATAACCTAAATAACTCTTTTTATTTATAAAAATCCAATCAACTTTATAGCCTCTTTTTTTTCGATTAGGGTTATAAACTAATGATCTGGGTAGGGTTATAAACTAATGATCTGGGAATAATATCCTGTGAAGTTTTTTGGAAGGCGTGGCTCGCACGTGGATACGTCACGCCCCTTCATCTCAAAAAATTCTCCGCCCCCGCCCCCAAAATCTCACACGCTGCTCAACAAATATTTATTAATTCCTAGTTTCTTCTAGTCATGCGATGAAAAGCTATTCAGTAAATTTATACTGATTGAAGTTAGTGTGTTTCTGGACAGAAGATCCTGAAATATCAACCGAGCTTCAACATTTGTGCGAAGGACTCTCACACTTAGGTACAAGGGAGAAAAGTTTTTAGCGAAAATACTGTAATGGCATAGTGGTACCCTCTTGTTTTGCAGACTTACTGCGCTTTTATTAATTGCATTTTGATGCGTTTTGTTCATTTTCTATTAGTCACAAATCGCGGAAAAAATATATTTATCTTTAAGGTTCTCAAATATTTCCACCGTTCTGATAAATTCTGAACTTTATGAAGGGTAGGATACAGCATCTCACTGCTATCATTGGGGAACTCAACAAAATGCAATTAACTATACCATTTGCATTCATTTGAAAAAGAACAAACATTTACATTTTACATTTGTTACTGTGCATGATTGAGTACGTGTTTGCCAAGTCGATTTGGCGTTGTTTTATAGAAGATCAAGAAAGATGAAGTGTCGAAGTTTGCTCTTTTGAATAAGAAAACTTTGGATCTGCTTCAAATCACGGTCAGTTTCGCTTTTGTTTGCTTTCGAATTTCCTTCCTCCTAGAGAATAGATTTCAGGATAAAACGCCAGTCAAAGACAGGTGTATCTTCAAGCTAGCATGTGAACCTCCAATGGTCAAAGCGATAGAGTCATTTAGGTGTCTTCTTTTGTTTTGTTCTTTGTTTTACGGTCAACAATTTTTGATTCCAGATCGCGCTATCCGTCTTGGGAAGTGACAACGGCATTTCTTTTGCAAAGATTAGGCTTACAATACAGTTCTGCGAAAGATGAAAAGTGGCCATTAGCAGGTAGCGAAGGGGAGGAGAGCGACGGCAGTAGGAGTGATTCTGAAGAAAGCGAGGAGGACAGTCCTATGAAAGCTCAACCGAAAATACAGGCGAAGAAGAAACTAACAAAAGACTCTTTCTCCGAAACACCAAGCAAGGCAGAGCCTACGAAACAGTTGAAAAGGAAAAGAGTTAGAAGAGGAAGTGAGGTTTCTGAAGATACTAAAGGAGAAAAGATTGTTGCGATAGGACCAGCCACTGATAATGCTGACAAACCAGGAGCGGAAAGCGGCAGTAGCGAAAAAGTGAGTGTTTTATTTGCTTCAGCACCACTCGTAAATCTCATCCTTTGCAGTCTTCACCTGTTAAAGAGACGGTTTTGAAGAAAAAGAAATCTGTTTCTTTGCCATCACCAGCCAAGCCAACGCTTGTGAAGAAGAAGAAGTCTCTTCCCTCACAGTCCTTGGCAGACAAGACAACTAGTCCCAAGAAAAAGAAGTCCCTAGGAGTGAATTCGGAAAAATCCGGAGAAGGCGCTGGCATACCCTCCGAGTCACACAAATTGGTTAGCAAATCTTCTTTGCTAGAATATGACGGTTGCTTTTTGTTGATTGATGTTAAGGAGGTTCTAAATCATGCGGCAGTCAAGCTTATGATGTTTCAAAGAAATGGTTTTGTTTAAAGTTTGCCTATGTGACTTTATAGGCTGTAGTGAAGAAAATAACCCTTGGGGGGACAGGCGAGATCAAGTTGGATAAGCGTCCGGCTCCTTCCATTCATCAGCAAAAACACACGACTGAAAATATCGAACAAGACAATTTCTTCATGCCAGTTTCCGCATCCACATCTAATAGTATGCCATATATATCAACCTCCGAATCGCATTTGGTAACGTGACGCTTTTCTCCATTTGCAGACGATGTCAAAAGACGCCAGGACGAAATCGCTGTGACCACAGAAAAGAAGAAAAATCGACTTTCTGAAGAAAATAAGCACTTTTCGTACAAAAGTGGTGTCAACAAGAAGTCGATCGGAAAAACGAGACCAAAGTCATTTTCCAGTAATGACCTCTCGCATCCGAAATTGGCGAAGAAGCAAGAAACGCGTAAGTAGTACTATATTCTTTTCCTTAGAATAGTGGCAGATGAAAAATCACTCAAATCTTTTAGCCGAAGATCTCCATCCGTCGTGGGCCGCCAGACGATTAGCAAAAGAACGTCAGTTGTCTGCTCCACAAGGCAAAAGGATAGTTTTCGAGAAATAGCATAGCAATTGTAACTGTTTTGTTTGCTGCCTGTGTTGTTGTTTGTTGTTGAAGTTTAAATGAAATGAGAACTACTTAATGTCAGTCATCTAACAGGGTGGAAGCCTAATTGTGTTTGAGACATGGCAGAAAATCGTTGCTGGACTTGGTCTTTCAAATTTGCACAGTTTTTGAATGCTGCTATCTTCTGTAGTCAGAAGTGAATGACAAATGCCCATTCTTGCAGGATTTTATACATGTCCCAGAAGATGTCCTCACTATTTGGTTGTTAGAAACTCCTTCGCCTCATTGCCTTTCCCGCTGGGGTACTCCATGTGGGTCTGCTTCAATCAGATTCAGGGGTCGGCACGAGCTGGCACCAGGGAAATCAAAACAAAGTCCCCCTTGATTTTGAGAATTTCGTACGAAGTCATCTTTGACCTGTTTCGATAATCCGTCATTATTTTTAGATTCGGTAAAGGTCTGTAATAGGGTTTTCACGCATGCTGATATTGAACAACCTTTTACAAGTTTTCCGAGCTTTTTAAGTTTTAATCACATTCTAAGCAGTGAAAAAGCAGATTCTTCGACTGCGGAGCAGACCGAGAGATTTTCGGATGGCTGTAAAACGCCGAAAAGAAAACATTATGAAATCGTTTTTCCTCTTTATGTAAACTTTACAGTTTAGATATTATGTAAAAAGGGATGAAAACTTATGTGAGCAAAGGGTCGTGCCAGCTCAGCTGGCACCCAGCTGGCACGATGCCAGCTAATTCAGAAAAAAGTTCAGCACAGCTTTCATACACACAAGTTTTCATAAATTTTTGAGCCATAGTTACCAGTTTTTGAGCCATAGCCCCGACGCGCATGCACACACCAAATTTGGTGTCATACTATTGTGTTTTGGCTAAAAACAACGCATTTGTTTGTTTGATGTACAGCATGTCGGTGGCGTGCCGGCGGCATTCTTGCGGTTCTTCTCCGCCTCGGACGCCGAAAAAACGATATTCCCTTTTTCAGACCCCGAAGAAGGCGATATTGCCGAAACGTCGGTCAAATAAAGAGATATACCAATCTTGTGCAAGCTGAACAAATCAGTGAAAGATATTCCCTTTGCTTTCTGCTCCAAAAACATATCCAGCTTGACCCGGTGCCGAGTCCTGATCAGATTTACGGTAACGAAGTATCGATCGCTTTTATGACTGTAGGTTACGGTAGAAATTTCAGAGTAAGCCATTAAGAGCCGTGATTCACTTAGGAGACGCAGTAAGTTGAAAAGTCTTTACTAGGCTAATCAGAGTGGTTGATCTCAAATATTTCGCATTTTACCGGAATGCTTCTTTCGAAAGTTAAGCCGGATACACGATAACAAGCGTTTTTGCGATGTTCCCTGAAATCGTGATCAAACCCTCCAAAAAGCTCATTTAATCTTATAAAGAGCTGTGTAGCGAAAAGGTCATGTGCAAAACTTGCTATACAACTTTAGAGATTTTTTTGGAGATTTTCTTCCGAAAGCAGCGTATCTCAAAGTGGCGCCATATGCTACTTCTCCATGTAATTCTACGGTAATGAAAAGCTATCGGTAAATTGCCGCATACCGCAAACCCAAGTTGAAGCCAGCTCGAATGGGTGACGAACTTTTTGAACGATAGCGCGCGCTTAGGCAGGCAAGTCTCAATAAGGTGGGCACCGTTAGCCCCGCCTATCGTTGAATGGACGAGTTTTCTGCAGTACAGCTTTGGTAGTGATTCAACGTCATGTCTCCACTGGTCCACTAAAAGCAGCTCCCACAATACTTTGGGCTTGTTTCAAGTCAGGGAAAGCCCCCAAAGGCAATGGAATAAGAGAGTCATTAACAATCAAACAGTAGGGGCATTTTTTTGGAGTGCTGTTATTTTTTGAGACTTCCCTTTTTACACTTCTTTCTACACTTCCCTTTGTTGTAGTTACGAATTGTATCATTCGTGGACTTATTTGAGATAATGTTCAAAATTTTTCTGAGTGTTAACTCCAAATGGCGTCCAAAAACTTGTAGTTGGACTCCGCTACTCTGCTATAACTATCACGTTGACTCGAAGATAATTTTCGTTGTGATATGTTTTTCCGAATCTTTATAAAATTCCACGTAGCTGATAACAAACTCAAATTTTTTCTGATCAATATACTTTGCCGAAGCTAATTTCGAGTCACAAGTTTCGGTTTCTGGAAGTCACTTAAGAACCTGATAAACATCTTATTTTGCGTCATATAGCCAACAAAATTATAACTTCTTCAAAAGGTAGCACTCAATCGACCACTTGAACACCCTTTCTAATGATACAAAAAAAGTGTGAAATTTGCTTGCAAATGATGCGGCTCGAAAACAACAAAAAATTCTCTAGCCAAAACAGTTATATCATTGATGAATCTCAAGGACTCATTTCTGTTCAACGCTGTCGTTTTAGCGAAAATCAGAAAAGGATTCCATCGCATGAGTGTCAAAGCTAGGTAATGGTCTTGAGGTATACTGGATGCTTGAAACCAACCTCAAAAGAGATTGCGCTTTCTGCAAGCGGAGTTTATGCTGGGAGATTTGCCTACAGATGTACTCCAGTCGGGTAGCTAGAAGAGAGGGAAGTTTTCGTGATTATGAGCCCGCTGAAATTTTGTAAAGCTTACCAAAAAATTTTTCAGAGTGCGTGGCTAACGCCACGCACCTTCATCAGAAAAAATTTTGTTCCTCCACCCCCCCCCCCCAAACGGAAATCCTAGGTACGCTACTGGTGAGCACCTATACGTAAATGTACTTGATGAAGTGCCATTTTCTTACGAGCTGCGACAGAATGATTGTAATTGGACGAAACACTAGGATCTACAGAGCAGTTAACACTTTTATGACCACGTAACTTCAATCACTTCAAGAATGGGGAGGCTTGCAAAAAAGAGAAATAGTGTGATTTGGCGCTAAAACGGGGTCTTTTTCTTTCCCCTTCTTTTAATTACTCCGGCGTGACTGATTCTTAGAAGACACAATTGCCCAGCAACATAAAATAAATAAAAAATAAAATGAAACAAAATAAAACTCCAATCACCAATCAGCATTTCTCATTCCATGACTGTCACTGTTCAATGATACGGTCAATGCCATCAGGTAGCGACGTTGATGTGGAGACGGACGACCTTCTTTGCAGGGTCCGTTTTGCGCATTAATAGCCTTGCTGCCGGCAGCTCCCGTTACTTATCGAGTAAACGACCAAGGATGGTGGTGAGTACTTCGTACCTTACACCTATCGCTTTCGCGTCTCGCCATCGATTTTGGCTAATTATCAGCTATTCTTTGCTATACTCAGCTACCAAGAGTCTATATCCCAATGTCATTGTCAAAAAATCATGCTAAGAAAAGTTGCAAAAATTCTTATAACAAAACTTGCAAGAATGGTATACGACAAGACTGGATCAATCTGATTTCCATAGTAGAGCAAAAGATTTTGCCACCTAATTGGTGTTTCCCGCTCGATTCATAATGCTGGGTTGTCCCGAAAGTTCTATCGTTTTCATCTTCAAAATCTATCGTTTTCATCTTCAAAAGTTTGTAATTTATCGTTATCTCGACGGATTCGATTCAATCTAATTTTATCGAAAAGATGATGTCTTCTTCTTTGTAATAATACCTCGAAGAGCTACTATGCACTCACCGCAGAGATAAAATGGAAAAGGAAGACCATTTATTTAGGCTTCGACCATCTTGAGCAAATTCGCCAAAAATCTGGGATACTGCAAAAAAATCTCAAATCGTCGGTACACTGGTTTTCTGACCGACTCCTTGCAATAGAAAAGAATTTGTGCTGTTTGGACTCATCTAGGAGAAAGATAATGCCGAATTTACTGATTTGTCACTTTTCGAGAAAATTATAACTTTGTACAGAGACGTCAAAACAGCACAGACTTTTTTCTGCTGCGAGAGAATGTCATAAAATTTATGGTCGTCTCCACATTCTCCTGATTTTAGGGATGAACTTGTTGGACCTCCACGTCATAGCGTTTTTTTTCGTATTCTCTCGCTATCAAAAACAGCCAGGCTTTGAGTTGGCAGAACCCCGCCTCTACACGAATCGTGGAGTCAATGATATGTGCTGACGATTTCAGATTTTTTTGTAGCATCCCAATTTTTGGCGACTTAGCTTAAACTGATCGAGGCTTACCTGGTCTTTTGATTCACTTCTATCTCTGCAGTGAGTGTATAGTAGAAACTAGTTGAGCCACTGTTACAAACAGGAAGATCTCTTCTTTCTAATAAAATTAGAATGAATCAAATCCGTTGAGGCAACGAAAAGTTACAAACTTTTAAAAATGAAACGACAGGACCTTCGGGAGAACCTAATATCTAAGAAATCGGACTACTTTATCCCAAAAGTTGCCCTTGTAAATTCGTTTGACCGAAACTTAGATTTAGACGATCTTCATCCTGGAAATGGTGCGAATGTTTGGAATCAGTACTTTGCCCTTGAGATTAATGCACTTTTCTAGCACTATGTGACCATTTCATCGACATCGCACCTTGGCAAGGAAAGCGTCTTTTTTGCATCGAATTTTAGAGAGTTGTAAAGAAGCTGCAAACATTTTGCAACCAAGCAATTTGTTTTCATTTATAAAGCCTCAAAATGTACGCGAAGTTAACTGTGAAGAGATTGATTTGTAACTCTAATGTACCAAATCAAATAATTCGCGCAAGTTTGCAATCAAGAATTTTAAAAAGGAAACAAAGCTGAAAATAGTAGTCTAGATTCTGCTAACATCAAGCGCTCACTATTTACATATTATTGGAGAACTTGCATTTAGTCAAATTACTAGAGACCACATTTCGGACTCTCATAACATAACCATCCACATCCACTCAACTATTCGTGTAATTTTCTAAAGGTTTGGTCTGGCAAGTTCTCCTAGCGTCTCAAATCTGCTGAATACAAAGTTTGAAGCACTGTGGTCTTTTTTTGATTAATTTCAGTTGCAGTTTATTGTTAAAATCGTTTCGGAAATTAGATTTTTTTGAAGTGTTACAGAATTCATCAAGCTACACAAGCACTTCATTAAAATTGTGTCAAATGCTGTACTTTTACAGAAGGACAGAATTTTGATTTGGAATGTCAGAACAGAATTTTTCTTCCGAACAGTAATTTGTTTCTTCATTTGGTCCTAAAACTCACTACGGTGATAAAAAAAAAACTACTGCAAAACAAAGCTGTATACTAAAATAAGGTTGTTTTCGGTTACAGAAGTTATCCGATGACCAGCGAAAAGAAGTGCTGAGTCCACTGCTGAGTCAAGGATGGGAAATGGTGGAAGGTCGCGATGCAATTCGAAAGGTGTTCCAATTTAAGGATTTCAATGAGGTGAATTTGTGTATCGTTACCATGGAATTTACGTAGAAATAAGAAAAAGTTCTGATAAGCTGATCGTATCTTGATTGTAGTTGTGAATATTTTCGTTGGTTCTCATTCTGTTGACATCTAATTCATAAAACTACTTTTTGCAATTACTTTTAGGCATTCGGATTCATGTCAAGAATTGCCTTAAAGGCCGAAAAGATGGATCACCACCCCGAATGGTTTAATGTGTATAACAAGGTAAAAAGAAAAATTGATATTGAGAGGAAAATGATATGTTTACTGAAACAATCACAGGTGGACGTTACTCTGAGCACCCACGACTGCGGAGGACTCTCACAGAAGGATGTGACACTTGCGAAATTCATCGACACTGCGAAGATATGATCTGTTTGTTTCCATCTTTCGGGCGGATTTTCTTTGAGCACTTCATGTTTTTTGGACTTACCACTGATCGACTCTCATACTGTCATTTCGTTAATTTGTCATAAATATGTACTCATCAGTTTCTACCTTGAGTTAAACTTCACCGTTACATCAACCGTTTTAAATCACTCTAACAGCAAGCAAAGACCAGGGACCCGCATATGCTAAGCAGAAAAAGCGACGAGCCGATCGCATGCCGTATTTGGCAAGCGCATCTTCATAGGAGCTCTATTGTAAGACGCTATGTACTTGTAGGTAGGTATCGCTCAAAATTCACCCTTCCATGTTTTTGTAACTTTGGGGCCTTTCGCTGTCTGAAAACAATGAAGCTCGAAATGTGCAAAAACTCTCAAAGAAATCCGATTTCTGGGAGTATCCTAAAACACATGACTTTAAGTATTTGAGTGGGGGCAAGTTTGGAGCGGGCGTGGCTCATTTCAAGGGTTCCAAGTCCATTTTTTGAATTCAGAGGCCACATTAGGGTCACCGAACCAATGCAGATGCAGACAACCATTGCAACTCCTAGGGGTTTCCTGTTGACTAGTTACCAATCGGTCATCAAATCACTTAAAAACAGTGCCGAGATCAGACCCTGAGTACATGGCTTTCGCATGCGAAAACTGATCAATCGTCGACAGGATTCTTCCAAGCGCGAGGTCCTTAAATAGATGACACATTTTTCCCTCTCTCCCTCGACCGTACTGCTTTGGAGCTCAAATCTTCGTTTACCGTATGCCATTTGGTTCGCTTAAACAGAATGTGGTCCAAGCGAAACTTATACTTGAATTCTTGGAGTGAATATATTGAATGAGCTACCTTTGGGCAATGGCTTAATTAAGTTACCTTTCGGATAGGGCTCGGCACTGCTGGCACCGAGTCAAGCTGGATATCGTTTTTAAGACAAAAAGCTAAAGGGATATCGTTTTTGGGACCGAAAAGACACAAAAATTGCGAGGTTTTTTCAAGTTGACGTTTCCTTTTTTGAGGTTTTTTCACATTTGGAGTTTAGGGTCAAGGGGGACTTCGTACGAAACATTTGAAATCAAGGGAACTTCGTTTCTGAATTCCCCTCGTGCCATCTCGTGCCGAGCCCTGCTCCCAGGCGGTTGCAGTATCAGATGCTCAAATCCAGATTTATGTGAATTCCTTCCCGTTGTTCAGAAGAAAAAAAAACGAAGCGGAGCTTGATGGTAATTTGTTCAAAAGCTTGATTATGTTATCTAATGAATGTAAAGCGTCTCCTGTGTACATGTATGTTTTGAGTTCAGGTTTATTGAGTTTCCATAACTTCTTTTGATACTTCTGAGGCTCATATTTGGAACAACCTTGTAAGATCTGTTTTGGCGACAACCAAGCACAAAAACAAAACGAGTACGTATCATTTATTATTTTGAAGGCGAATCAGTATGATTCTACAGGACTAGTTTTGCGTTACCGAAAACAAGGAAAACACATTGCACATCAAGAAGGATATGAAGAGTACCTTCGCACTGGAAACTAACATCAAGTCGGGCAAGGACTGAATCTAGGCTTATCACAGCAGTTAGAAACACAAATCGGGTTGAATAGACCAAGAAAAAGAAAGTCACGAAGAAAACACTATTCGCTCACTGTCATATCTATGCAATTCTACAAAGCAAAATTGAAAGTTAGTAAATCAGCTGTTCCTTTTGAAGATCCAATATTCGCTGGCAGAGCACCTGTGAGTTGGTCTCATAAGGATTTGCTAGCAGAACCGAGGTGACTAGCGATTCTGGGAAGATCTTGCTAAGGTGATACTGTAGCTCGGTGCGATCAGGAGGGGTGCTGAAAGGGAATATGTGTTAATAAGTGCTGTTAGGGGGGGGGGGTTGGTAAAGGTTAAGCCCACTCTGGAGTCGTTAGGGGTCCGACGCTCAGCTCGCTATGACCCCAGACGGCCGTCGATGGTGCGTAAAGTGATCCACTTTCTGCTTCGTGTTTGGTGTAGGAGAGCGGGGCAGATGCGATGCGGCTTACGGAATTGTGCCATGCGCTTGGCGTAATGTAGCAAACGTCCCTTGGCTTAAAACAACAATTATGGATACGCCTCAAAGGCATCGTCCACCCTAATATGTTAGTGAGTTTTTCTTGCAGTACAATAGCTACGCTTTTAATTGAGTGATCACCCAAGACTCGCTGCGAAAGATGCAGACCGAAGAGAGAAAATCTCTTCAAAATGTGATTGCTACTGAGGTCGCCACGCCTATCAACTTGGTAGTCTAAAGGTAATGAGCACGAAACTAGACTCAGTAGTGCCTAGAAATGTCAAAAAGTCGCTTTTGATTGTGAAAAATATATTTTCGACTTTCCTGGTATCTTAGAGTCCAGTTTTAGGCTCATACTTCTCGACCACTTGAGAAGGTGGATGCTGTTGGGGTCGTTACGTTGATGGGCGTGGTGACCCCCGCCTTCTGAAGCGTTTTCTCGCTCCGGAATATATCTTTTGCGACGAGATTTGGGCTATTTCTTAGTCAAAAGCCTCGCTATTGTACTGCATTAGAATCCCACCAATTCCGAGTTTGCGTGAACTGTGCTTCCGGAGTGGATCTAAGGAATCTTACCGTTGCTTGGTTGTTATCGGGTGGAGCGGTTACCCGAGGGTCGAAGTTGAGCGAACGCGTCCTTCCTACACTTTTATGGTCCACCGTCGAAGAATCCAGCTGCATAGAGCTACCTGAAATAGGTTCAACTCTGCCTAGTGCTTATACTGCTTATCTACTTCTGCTTACGCATTCCCAGCATCTTTTTCTGATTCTTCTCCCGCATCAGACGTTCCGTTACGCTCATGTGGACCCCATTAGGACGTTCTGGATGAAAGTACCTGAAAACCCAAGTTGGTATAGGAGGACAAGATCGCTCCACCTTCATCCACTACTGACTTGCATTTACTTCCATAGGTGCACTTCCTCGCATATGGGCAGAGCATGGCCGTAGAGGGGGCAGATGACATTGAAAGGAAATGCTGCAGACGAGGACCATATCGGCCCAGTGGATCTTCAGGAGGCATAAACCTGGGCAGAAATGATAATTTTATACCATATGCATTTTCGAAAAGCTACATACTTGCCATCGACGAAGCTGTACATTAACAAACGCTGCTCGACGATACGTCGATACTGTGGGTGCTCTCGCAGTAGATCCCTGCAAAAAATTTGATAAATCATGCACGAGTAAAAAATAGAGGACTAAGATTACTTACCTATAGCCATCATTTGACACCACTACTGCATCTTTTTCTTCTGCAGTTTTCAGTATGTAGAGATCATCATGACATACGATTCGACGTCCATTTATTCTTCTGCAAAACTGAAGTATTTTGACTGCCTTCTCTACAGGTCGGGAACGTATCGCAGTGAAAAACAAGTAGGTTTCTATTCAGTGTGCCTGTTATTTGTATATATAATTCACGCATATTGAAACTGCAAAGATGCGTTAAAAAGCATTAATTCGCAGTGAAAATCCCTACTACATACTTTACTTCATTATTTTTTCAATAAGTGTTATCCGGAAGAACAATGAGCATTACCACTTTCTGAAAAATTCTAATCCCTGGTTGTTCGTATATAAGGTCCCCCTAAAAGTAAGACAAAAAGAAAAAAGAAAGTAAGACCCCTACGATCTTCTCCAAAGCCGCTGCCCAATTTTCGTCTCAGATCTAGTAACACTCAGACAATCGCAAAAGAACTTCCGGGCAAATTGAGCTTCTAAGACTTCCGGGGCAACATCCTATTAGAGCTGCCAGATGGCGGGGGCCACGCCACACGTCTACGCCACATGGACCGATAGGAGCCTCCGCCCCGGAAGTCTTACAAGGGAACGATCCCAACTTAAGGTGGCGAACTGGAATGAACTGCATACCATTACATGCGTCTTTATGAGCTGATTCCAAATCTAGCTTCCTTATCTACGACAACGTTATCTGGAAGAAGTTATGAAAATTCAAAAATGTGAAGTAATGGGGGTTTTGATGCATAATTTGCTTTAAAATCCAACTTGGAAGTGCACGACTAGCATCATATTGAGTGTACTGATTTCACGGAATGCTCACATTCAAAAGAAACGCAAATAAATGTTTTTGAACAGCCAAAAAGCAACTAAAGTTCTTTGGTAAAAGCTATGAGCAATGAATAGTCCAAATTTGGCAAATATACAGCGCAATACCTCGAAAATTAGTTGTTCAAAAACACTTATTTGTGTTTCTTTAGAGTGTGAGCATTCCTTGAAATCAGTACATTCAATATCATGCTAGTCATGCACTCCCAAGTTGGATTTTGAAGCGAATTATGCACCAAGACCCCCGTTACTTCACGTTTTTAACCTTTCATAACTTCTTCCAGATAACGTTGTCGCAGATATGGAAGGTAGATTTGTAATCAACTCATCAAGACGCATCTAACGATATGCGGTTTATTCCAATTCGCCACCTTAAGTTGGGATCGTTCCCTTATTAGAAGCTCAATTTGCCCCGGAAGTTTTTTTTTGCGATTATCTGAGCAGTCAGCTGAATTCGATGTAAAACAGCATAGCATTTTCATAATTGGTAATTCATTAACGAGCAAACATATCCTGAGCGCCAAATTAGCTTCTGCGAACGAAGTCTCTCACTCATGTGATGCTATTTTTCAGACTTAAAAACGGCTTTCAAAATCATTTTTAGGAAAGCTTACTGCCTTCAAAATTTTTTCTATTAAGCAAAATGTTCAAGAATCTACTTTTTTTGATGTGCTTACATATAGTTTGATCTCTTTCTCATCAGTATTCCAATACGGAGTTACTGTAGGAAATTACGACTATTTTGCCAGATGACTAACCTTGATGGCGTCCACACTATTCTTCGCTCAGCATCTAGTTCAGCGAGCAAATGCTGATCCGTAATCGGGCAATCTGCCCTTGCTGTTTCGCGCCTAAAACATTCAAATCTAATGATTTCTTCCTGTCAGAAAAATTGCAACTTTTACCTGAACTGCGGAATAAACACTAATACGTCTTCGTGACCCCTGTCTGTGAAGAAACGCACACAATCTCGTATTCCCGCACATGAGAACACTTCTTTTCTTCCATGCCTTGAAAGAAAGTATAGAATGACGCCTATGGGTAATGATTTGACTTCTCAATAGAATTCCGCTCCATTAGCTAAATTACTTCAAATCGTCAGCGAAATAATCAATTTAAATTACACTTTTTCAGCTAATATCCGCAAAGTTGATTTTGAGCATATGACATTCAAACGAACATTTGAGTTTTCATGCATTATCTCATTTAAAGAATATTTTCCAAGGAAAAGCTAATAGGTTGAATCCAGTGGCGTACCCAGGATTTCCGTTCGGGGAGGGGGGGGGGAGGCGAGAAGAATTTTCTTCCGATTCAGGTGACCAAGAAAAAATTATTGGCATTCTTCCTAAACTTTCCTGGGCCCGTAATCCCGGAAATCCAGAAAAAAAGGGCGTGGAGTTAGAGACTCACCGAAATAATTTCTTTGTAAGGCCTAAATGAATTTTGAAATTCAAAACTTTTTTCACTTAATCATAAGTATAGACAAGTCACTTGAACATTTGATATCTGTTCTTATGAAGTGTACATTATCTTATCAGAAAGATAGAAATTTTGAGAGCGAGGGTCAGTTCTGTTGCTTTGCAAAAATGGCTCCGCTCTCCCATTTCTCAGCCTTTCTTCGGAATTACAAGTTAAATTCACATGCAGATACCTAGACCGCAAGGTAAAAACTGTACTGACGTCATAGCTATATTGGAACCATCAATGACGATTGGTCTCAGTGTTGAAGAAGGTGCTGGAACAAAGTGCACACTTTCTGGCTGCTCAGTACAACCGCGACCCATTTGGACGAGTTCTGCTAAGATTCGGTCCTGAAGCAAAGCTTTACGGCAAAAGTCTAACTGGCTTTGCTTGTTACCTGTCCAGCATCACATCCAATTTTTTTCAAAACAGCGATTAGTCGCTCTTGAGAATAGCCGAGGTTCCGAGCAAACTCTACCAGATGCGGTGGTGCCGTGAAAGGAGCGTCGGGCTTTACTGTATCCTCATCTGCAAGTAAAACATAGTTGATTGTCGAGAATGTGTCAGTAATGTACTAACCTAACTTCAATCTGCCAAGCCCTAAGTCTGAGCCGACAGTTTCCGAACTTTCTCGTGAAAGCGAGGGATGTGACTCCTCAGAGCACGAGCTGTAACAACTGTCTTCCTCGTTCAGCTCCGCCTTTCTAGTGCCACTGTCAGTTCCCGGTTCCTGTGATAATTCCGCTTCGAAAGAGACTTTTGCGGGTACACCCCGGGATACCCGGCGGAGTGGTGGATGCTTGCGCTCCATCACTTCGGCACTGACGTTCTGAATTTTTTAGATCACTCGCAATTCTTCGGTAATGGTATATATCATAATTTTCGAGCAGAAAGAATGTGTTAGAAGCAATGTTCACGATACTGGTACTCATATTTTTGTTCTTCAAAAAGCAAATGAAAAAAAATCTAATGTCAAAAAGATCGGAAATATGAAAAACCACGATGCCAACGGATTCCTTGAAAAATACAAATAAAATGACCTCTGTTCAACAAAGCAAACGCTTTCGCATCAGTAAATGCTTCACCTTCAAAAATAATTTTCATAGATTTGTCAGTGCTGCTCTAAAAGGAGATTAACATTTTCAAACTTTTTTGAAATATACCGTAAGATTGAACTAGCCTAATTGGCGGAAATCAAATATGCAGAAAAGTGGAAAGCTAGAAAACGCTAGGTGCTAGGTCGAAACAAAAATTTTTCGGGAAGCCAACATCAAACATTACTTCAGGAAACGAGATCCAGCTCTTGAGGTTTTGGCTATTAGTCAAATTAATGAATTTACGCTGAAATCAAGAATAATGCAAAGATCTGAAGTAATTATTGCGCTATTGGATTAGTCAAGAACTAAAGAGAGCTGCTCCTTTTCTGTAAAAGCGCATCTGGAATGATTTGTGATTCTATACGACAACAGACAGGATAAATTAGTCGTTCACTTGCTTCTGTCAAAGCTATGATTATAAGTGCACAGGCTATAATTTTGCCTGAGGCTACTGCACAATATATATACGAACCGCTAAAGCATCAAAGGTGAGTAACAGAAGCACCAGAAACCGATGGCGTGAAAAGAGATTGGAGAGAAAGTGGGAAAAATGAGAATGATTTCTGCAATAGGCTCTCTAAGGATTTTTTTCGGCTTGATTTTGCACCGCAGTAACTCATGCTCTTCTCACATCCTCAACAGATTTAGTCTGGAAGTAATTCTCCCTGGAGCAGATAATGCTCTACAAAAGTACGAAGTTTGGAGCCACTCTCCAGAACGTTTCAGGTGTGAGAAAAATCGAAAAAAAACTCGAATCTGTAAATTTCTAGCTTACACCCGTTGAAGCATACACTTTTCACATACATAGCAATTTTTTTGATGGCTTGAAATCGCTAGAACAAAAGAAAAGATCGAGCAATTCTCAAACATTCTAGCGCTTTTGGGTTCCCTCAAAATACGTGGTCATAAAGCTTATTCACTCAGAAATGCAGCCGTAAATTTGCATCCTCATAGCTACTTTTTTTGATACATACAGGGTGTCCCAAAAAAATGTGCCTACTGTTTGGTTGTGAATAACTCTCTTGTAACGAAGTGTTTCGAGGTGCTTTAGGCACCGTTTTGTAGAGCGAGGTTGAACTTAGATTTGCAGTATGAAGCGGATCATCTATCGCTCTTCATTACTGTAGGATTACGGTAAGAACTTCCAGCATATGGAACCACTGTAAAATATACCACCTAACAAAATTTCTTTCAAAAAAATGTGAAAAATCGTGTACTAGGGTTTTCGCGCATGCTGATTCCACCTAACAACTTTTTACGAGTGTTTTCAGCTTTTTTGACGGTGTAATTACATTTCTGGCAAATGCTGGGAATTGAGTTATTACGATTTACCGGGGTTAACTTAGGAAAGAAGCATCACAGCAAAATGGGAATTTCAAATTCGAAATCAGCGGCTCCCATTACCGTAGTGTAAGAGTTTCTGGCTTGTTTGGTTTCGTTCCGAGGCAGAGTGTAGCCTCCAAAGGCCTAAAATCTTTGTCGAAATTCCTACCGTAATTCTACAGTAATGAAGAGCGATAGATGATTCGCTCCATACTGAATAACTAAGTTTAACCTCGCTCTACAGAACGGTACCTAAAGCTTCTCGAAACACTTTATTACAAGAAAGTTATTTATATTCAAACAGTAGGCACATTTTTTTGGGACATTCTGTAGATATCAATTTTGAGCGAAATACGATTTAAAATATCAACAATCTATATTTCCAGTAGTCATACCTTCTCAGATGCACGTAAGACTGTGTAAGATTGCTTAACCCATTGACGACGACGCCTAATTTTGCGCGGCGGCGCTGTGGGACGACGCGATTCTGCACAACACTTTCAGTGTGGGAAGGTTTCGTGCTTATTTACGAAATGCAACATTGTTTTGTAAACAACTATTATTATTTTCTTGAACGACAGAGCCTATAGGTCCTAAGAATACAAAAAATTGGAAAAAATATTAATTTGTGGAGAAAATACTAGACCTGCAAATAATACGACTTTGCGAGAGGTGTGGGCCACCGGGGGTCCACATCGTCCCTGGCAGCAAAAAGCGCGTAGGCCACCGGTGGTCCACATCGTCGTCAATGGGTTAAATTATGAGAAAACAGATTTTACATAGGCTTAGTGCAGTTCGTCATTTGCTCATTTCTAACAATTTTCAAAGCTTGGCATGTCTTAGGATTGCTTGAGCATTTTGAACAATAAAGAAAAACTCATTGTTAGACAATCACAGTGGAGAATTGATAAAGGGAAAGGGATTTTGAGATAAGTACTGCAAAACAGCCAGCGACCATTATTCCATGAAACATAAAACCTCCATTTGAGCAAAAATTAAATGATTTCACAGTGAAACGGGACGATGAACTCGCCACAGTCTACCAAAGCATTTTTTCATACGTAGAATAGTTTTTGTCCAGATTGAATGAAAATTAATTCAACTTGGTGGAAAGAGCAACATAGAATTCCTATTGTTGATCATAGCGACCTTGATCGCTCAAGTCAAAAAGTGTTGGAAACTGGTGAAGCTACGAATATTAAAGAAGTGGTGGTCTCAAAAACCCAAAAAAATCACAGAAATAATCGAAGTATGATAACATAATATAGTAATCAAATATTCGAAAAAATGAGGGATAGTGAGAATGCTCAAAATCTATCGAAGAATCAAACTGTAGGAGACATTTTCGGTGTCAATGTTAAGGTATCGCTTGCTTGTGGTTGACAGATGGTTGACAGACCTTTAAGGGTCGAAATTGCGACCCCTACATTTCTTTGTTTTAAAAGCACTCCGTGACGAGTGCTCACTTTCGGTTGCAGCTCAGCTGCTCGTTAGCTGACGTGCGGTCTAGACCGCTTTTTGGCTCGACCCAATTTAGATTAATCACTTCCAAATGAGGAGGAGCACAGAATACTCGTAGACCTAAGTTACATGGATAGAAGTATGTACACTATCTCATAAAAGAATGAGGCACATCTGCCGAGTCAAATACAATGAAAGCGAGTCATACAAATGGTTTATTTATTTATTTTAATAAGCTCAGGGTGTGTCACATGATGATTAAGTGCATTCCTTGGTCATTCCTTGAAAAAGTCATTAGGTTTTTCGAACAAAGGGCGGGGTTGACATGCATTCTACCCAAAACTGATAAATTATTGATTCATTTGATAAGAGAAAAAAAGCGCAACGATGAGAAAACAGCCCCATCCAAAAAAAACGACTGCAGTTTATTGAGCCTTTGGAAGATACAGGGGGAGCCTCGAAAATGAGAAAACTGTAGACATCAAAACTTTGCAAAGCAAATACAAAAGATCACTTTAAAAAACTTGCTGCCGTTACTTTGGAACCCAGTGATCTACGATGTGGCGTTGAAATCCTCGAAAAAAATTGATTGAGAATAAAATAAGCGGTTGGGTAGTTACGTACAAAGTTGCGCCATGGTAAAGTAATTTATTGCCCTAAAGCTCCACTATTGAATCTTATTATCAGCATTTTCCTTCTAAAGTAACATTGAAAATATATCATGAATTCACATTTGTTACGTAGAGCATTTAGAAAAATTTCAAAGAAAAAAAAATTGAGGATAGCAAACATTCGTACAATGTTATATGATCGATAAACACTAGATATTCTTACATGGAAGAGTAGGTTACAAAAATAAAGTCTAAACTAAGATTTTAGCGATCAATTTTTAGCAGGGCTCGACACGAGGTAGCTTTTGAAAAGACAAAAAACGTAGTTCCCTCTTGACTTTCTCTAAATTTTGGGAATTCCCTTTGGCCCTTAGCCACCATCCTAAAAAACTGCGAAAAAACGAAAAGTTGACCGAAAAAACGTCGAAAATTTTCTGCTTTTCGGCTACAAAAACAAAACCCCTTTGCTTTTTGCCTCAAAAACGATATCCAGCTTGCTTTACAAGTTATTTGTGCCGAGCCCTGATTTTTAAAACTTTGTTCAGAACTTTTTAAAATCTTTTATTGCTGTGATATTCCACCATCGTTTCTTACGTTTAAACATTATTGCAAGGGTATATTTTCCAAGATTTAAGAGTAACGACATATTGGAAAAGGAGAACACAGATTTTCAAAGCTTTTGGAGCAATAACTACAACCTGTTATTTTCTCTTCCTGATAATAATAATCATGTGCAGTTAGCAGCTCAATCTTGTCCTCAAAGGCGAGGATGTCATGGCAACAAACGTAGTCATCACTTGATTATGACTAATACGTAAAGAGTGATAATGCTGCCATTTGAAAGTGACGTTTGTGAAACGAAGACTAATCTTCCAAACAAACCAAAACATGGCCTTACGATGGAGTAATACTGATAAAGGATTCCTTTGGCGTGAGAATCGTACGTAAATGCTTTCAATGAATTAGAAGAGACAAAAAGATATAGTCTTTCCGCTCCGATTTTGAAAAATTGTAACTCTGGTAGACAAGACTAATGATGTAAGATACTACAGAAGAGCGCTATTCAAGCCCGCATAACTTCGGTTTGCTGTTTCCTGATCAAACAGCGCAACAAACAGTCCAGCAGTGCAAACAACGCCGATGACAGAATACAACAAAGGGTCGGTGTTTTTTGCAAATCTCAAATCGTATTTGAAATTTTGAAGGGCTCTGAATGACAGTTCGTATTTGGAAGAGATTTTATTTTTCTCTCCGCACATGCATGAAAATATTGGAACCGCGAATAATGCCAAGATTTTAGTCCAATTGATTATCTTCATTAGATGTTAGCAAGAGTAG